TTGTCTCCTGAATTGGAAGCCTGCTCAAAATGTTCTTGAGTTCCCTATTGATGATGTTCAGGAGGAGTGAGGAGGATAACCAGGCCCAGAGAACAGAAGGCTCTGAGATCTGTTTTTCTTTTCACTTGGGGTCAAAAGCCATGTGAATATCTTCTATTTGCTTTAGATCAGTTTTCCAAAGGATGAGCAATGATAGGTTCTCCCACACTTCTGATGGATGTTGCTGTTATCCCTTATCTCCCTTTCGTTCCAATAGATGAATCAGAAGATAATCCTTGCATTTCATGACAGTTTTCCTTTCCCTTTTCAGAGGCTAGCCTGCTCAAGCCAAGCTGTGAGCCACAGTGAAACAGTTCTAAAGAGATTTTACTTTTTGCAAAGCTGTTTTCCTCTCTTTAGAACAGCAGGTTTGTTTTTCCCAAACCCAGTCAGTTTGGGAGCCCCTGCCTGAGCTAGGGATTTTCCAAGTGCCATTGGCCTAAGAATTGGCTTCTGTAAAGCAAAGTTGTGTTTGTTTGGACTGTGTTTGACTCCAGTGCCACTGTCAGAAAGCAATAACTGGAGACCACAGGTCAGAAAGGTACTGGCTCCATGAAGTCCTGCTGGCAAAACAGGAGGATGTGATACACAGTGGTTCTGCTGCAGTGAGAAGGGGAAGTAACAAAAAAGAAATGGAAAAGCTTAGCTTTCAGTTGGTGTTGAGTTATCTTCCACTGTCAGACCCTCAGCTTTATGTTGTGCTTCTGTTGTGTTGGTGCAGTTGGTGAAGTTCTGGCCCTGCTTAGAGAGATCCATGTGCAGCAAAATTATCTTTGCTTGGCAGCATCTCTGGGTGCTGTTGGAGAGGTGGTGTTGAGCAGCTTGTGGGAGATATCTCCTGAGAGGCACAAACCCTCTGCCATCACAGGGATGCCAGCAAACACCCAGGAGAGTGGTAAAACAAGTCTTGAGACTTGAGTGCTTATGGCTCCTCCACTGTAGGCAACAGGAGCCTTTTCAGCCCCACAGTGCTCAGCACATGGGTGTAACCCTGGAGCTGCCTTCATCTTCAGTGTTCTTCCCAGTTGCCCTAGAAAAGAGGCCTTGTGTGAGGTAGAAGTCATTCTTAGCTGGTTTTCCCCCAGAGTGTACTACAGCACTGGTCTCACACAGATTGGTGAGAACACTGCACTGCTGAGAGAATCTTGGAGTGTTGTGTAATCAAATTTCCGCCTTTTGCCATTCCTGAGCATCTTTCTAAACTTGGTGGCAGGCTGAGTTCAGGGGTAGAGTGCAGAGGAGGATTTTTCTAAGGAAAATTCCTCTCTCAGCCTTTTTAAGCTGTGGTAGGAGGATGACTAACTGTGGGTACACCCAGACATTTCCCTTTGGACACACCTAAGCACACTCTTTCCAAGAAGGGGATCATGCCACCTTCCAGTATGGGTGGAGAGAAGATTTAAAGGGAGACAGGACAGTTGGGTCTTACTGTCCATAACACCATGTCTCCTGGTGTCACAGTGAGGAATTCTAACAGAGCACAGTCTTGGGGTGACTTATGGTGTATTGCTAAATGAGGTTTCTTCATTTCTTTGTCCTCCATCAGCAGATGTGTGTTATTTGTAGACAGCAGAGGCTGTTGCCTATTTTTACACTCAATTAAATTGTAACTTCATCACTGGGGCCTCTGCTGCAAGAACAAGCCAGGCAATGATCCAGACTGATTAATTATCAGCTTAATGCCTTTGGCAGAGGCGTTTTGCTGCCATTGTGGGGCATGGTCAGGGTACTGCTGCCCTTTGTGATGACAGGAAAAGTTAGGGGTTGTGTCTGTGCTGTTCCCTTCATTGAGCTTGTTTAGGGACAGGATTAGGCTTGGCTGTACAGACTGGCACATGTGAATAAGAGGTCCAGAGGAAATTATCTGTAACACTTCTTGAAAATAAGCCTCTGCAAAAATAGCGCAAACTGTAATACTTTTCTTGATGTGGAAATGAGTGGGTTGGGCATTTTGCTTTGGTTTTCAGAGAAACTGGTAGCTTGCAGAATTTGGCTTGCAGTATTTTTTTCCTTGTTTTGTTAATGAAAAAATCATAAATATAATGGAAGGATAAAAATGGACAAGAAGTAGTTTCTGCTGCTGAATCAGCTTGAGAGAAGTCCATCAGCCTGTTTGAGAAACCAGAAGTCTCTTTAGACAGCTGAGTCTATTTTAACCACAGTAAGCTCTACTGGCTTTTTCCAAACACTAGTTTGTTTCTGGGACCCTTCTTGAAATAAGTGTTTAGTTTTGTTGGCAAAATTTTACAGATCTTTCTTGTAAGTGGATCTTGAAATGCCGAAGCTGCACGTGTGTTTGTTATCCTTGCTGCAGGCAACTGTGATCTGAAAATTCCCTTGCTAGGTGTTCTGGCCAGCTCTGCCTGGTGAGGTTGGGTTTTCAGAGGGTGCTGTTGCCAGTGATGGTTGGGGGAGCCACCAGCTTCTCTCCTCAAAGCCTTTCAGGCATTGCCCTCTTATCATACCAACACAGAGTGAAGAGATAAAACCACCAACCACCAAGGTCATGTTGTTGTTGGGAAAGTCAGGCAGAGCATCCCCCTTGCCTGTGCTGGTCCTTGTTTAACCCTGGTCACTGCACACACTGCCTGCCAAAAATCAATTACTTCCTTGGTGATGTTTGTTTGCAGAGTCTTTAAATAATGCAGAGTGGATAAACAACCATACTGCAGAGTGTACATTAGCTGTTGGCTAATAAGTTATTACAAATATCTTCTGGACTTGGTTTGTGTAAGCTCTGGTTCCTCTTCGTTTCCTATATAGGTAATAATACACTGAGCTTCCCCAAACCCTGCTGGCATTATGCATATTACAGTGCAGAGTTACTGAGCTGCAGTGATCACAGCACATTTAGCCTAGAAGTGTCTGTGAAACCTGTTTCTGTGGCAGTGATGAACCTGGTCTGGGCTGCAAAAACCACTTCAGACACTTCCTGTGTGCCCAGCAGCTGTTCTGCACTGAGTTCCCCAGCAGCTGCATTTGCACTTCTGGTGTAGCTCATATCTTCTGGTACATCTGCAGTTCCTGTAGCAGTGCAAGACCTGGGTGTCTTTATCAACCTTGGCTTTCTGCTCTTCTTGCTTAGCACAGCAGGAGCTGGTGGGCTTTGAATGCTCCTGAGAATTCTCCCTCAGTGCTTTGTCATGTGCAAAGTCTGTGATGATGCTTGGGGTTTCCTTCTTGCACTGCTTCCCTGGGCTGGTGCTTTTAGCCACAGACTGGTTTCCCACTTCATCCAATGTGTGTATGAAATTGGATGACTTAATGCATGCTGCTTTCAAATGCAGAGGTTGAAAAACAAAGCCTGTTGAAAGGAGTGTTTGTCATGCAGGGAAGTGCAGCAAACACTTTCTTGAAGTATCACAGAAAATTGCTTTTTCAACAAACAAGGGGACTTCAGAAAGCTCAGCAGAGCTCGGCAGTGAGAACAGCTGTGAGAACAGAGGGTGGCTCTGGGCTGTGGTGGATGCTTGAGCCCCTCCAGGGAAGGTGGCCAGTTCCCCTGCAGCTGTGGCTGTCTCAAATCACAGATAATGCATCTTCCTCCAACCAGGATTCAGCAAACATCTGGAAACCCAGATTTCAAGTGTTAAGGTTAAAAGGATAGAAGAGAAAGCAAGAGGTGCTGAGGACTCCAGGCATTGACAAAAGCAGGGAATTTGGTACAGCTTGATGGGAGGCAGAGTTCTGTGGACAGACCAGGGTGAAAAGGATGAGAGCAGACAGTGGAGGCTGCTTGGAAACTGAACAGCTGCTAGGGTGGATGCTGGGGATTTTGGAATGGTTTGGGTCAGAAGAGAAATCAGGTGCACAGGTATCTAAACAGCCTGAGAGTAAAGTCATGCTGCCCTGAGAATGGAGCCCCATGCTCTGCCTCTGCCTTCAGGACTTCTCCACTCACCCACACAGTTGTTGCCTGTGAGTGTCCCCAGCTGGGTCTTGAGTTTAGGAGTGACTTCTAGCTTAGAGATTTTATATAGTAGGTCTACTTCTGTCTGACTTCTGTTTCAACAACAGGATTTAGTCATTTGACCTCCTGGGTCTACCCAGGGTTGAAATATTTGGCTGTTTTCATGTCTGTTCTTTGGCAGTGGTTTGGTGGCTCTGCTGGACACGTGCCAGGTTGGCACTGGTGTCACCGTGTGCTGCACAGCCACCAAGGCTCCTGCTGTGGCTCTGTGCTGCTGTATTTTTGTGGGACACATCTCTGCACTCTCCTGTGCTTGTAGTATGGATATATGGATGTTTCCCCAGGCCTGGGGAGAGGTCAGCCAAGGCAGGAGGTGAACTCCCAGGATGGTAAGAGCATCACAGTGCAGCACCTGTAGTGAACTTAGGAAGATGAGGATTTGGCCTGGGCTTTGCTGGTGTTGACCCCTGTTACAATCCAAAAGCTTTAGCCACCTGATAATGGCACTGCTAAGGCATGTAGAAAATATGGTTGGCAAATTTTACATTTTTTGTCTGAGATCTTTCCTTTTTGCCCTCTAATGGAAGGTGTCACTTGGGCACTTTTCAGCCACGGGGTTGAATTGCAGGTCCCAAAGTTGTGCTGCTCTTATCTTTCTGTTCAGCCTAGCCCTGCTCATGTGGGCACAGCTGCTATAAAGGGCCAAGTTAAATGTGGAAATGATTAAGGCTCTAAGATAGCAGTGTGCCAGCATCTGTGTTGCATGCCACTGTTAATCCCTGGAGCCTGAAAGGACATGGAGACCCAAGCCACAATACAGGAGATCAGCTTGGTTAAACAGATGCACTCTCACAAATCAATAATATGCTTAAATACCTGACATTTTCAAAGCAAACAGTCTTCCAGGAATTAACCTATAATGTTTTTACCCTTTCTTCAGTCTGACTCATAGCAGAGAACAGATTATCTGTTTAAAAGGTAATACAGCAATTAAATGTCTGAAATATTTCAGTGCATAAATCCCTTAATTTTCCACTTTCTATTTCCCCAGGAACTGGCAAACTCTGTCTACTTGGTTATGGAGGTGAGTGTGTTGGTTTTTTTAACCTCCTTTCCCTCCCTCTTTCTCTTTTTAAATATTTTAAACCCATTTCAAGCAGATCAGCATGTTTCACAAGTGGTGCTTCCTGCTGGCAGTCTCACCTGTGAGGCTTTGTTAATCTAATCTGCAGCTCAGGCCTTGGAGCCTGTGGGTGCAGAGAGCAGCCAGGGGATTTTTCATCTTGCTGCTCTCAGAAGGTCCTGCAGACACTGAACCTCAGGGGTCAGGATGGTGCCACAGGGGAGTGAGTGTTCAGGCATCCATCCACCAGAGAGAATGTTCTGGACACACATTACCTGCAGAGCCTCTCAGTGTTTCCCTTGCTCTGCAGTTCTTGCTTGGAGGTCTTGTTGACTTTTCCTAATGATGTGGAACATTGATGTGAGGAGTTTCAGTTTTCAGCTGTGTCCACTCCCAGGCTTTCCTCAAACAGCTTTCTGCTGCTGTCTCCAGTGCTGACCCCTCTGCTTTGTTCTGGTTCTGCCTTTCTCTCTGAAGTGCTTGAACATGGATGATGCTGGTGATGCTGGTGTATCATCATGCAACATAACATTTAGGAGAAATAGGAGAGGAACTCAGAGGAATGGGGTTTTCCCTGCCAACTTCTGAATATGTATTTTGACATGTATAATTATTTATGTTTAAATACTGTGATAAACCTGCCACCCTCCTGAAGTTTACTGTTTTTTCTTGTTAATCTTTGATTTGCCCTGTATTAACTGAGCTTTCTCTTCTGTTTGCAGTACTGTAATGGTGGTGACCTGGCAGACTACCTTCACAGTAAGTACAGCAGAATGGAGAATATCCTCTGGGAGGGTCACCCTTCATAATCTTTGGAAAACTGAGAAACCATGACAATAAAAAGTGGTCTTGTAGTCCTTTCTATGTAGGTCAGTAGTGACTGTTGTCAGAAGCTAAATATTTTAGTTACAATGGCCTTATAGGTTAACCATATTCCAGCACTACTAGGGACACAGTTTGTGTTTTCTTGGTGACAGGAAAAAAGCTGTTTATACTGAAGCCTTGCAGTTCTGTAGTGTTGGATTAGAATAAGATGCCAAGAGAATATTCTCTAAGTTACCCCTAAGGTGTCCCCACATCTAGGGCAGAAAAAATTTCCTGTTTCAGCATATTGTGGATGACTGTGGTGTAGCCAGTAGTGCTGTGAGGGTGACCCCATTAATTTTGGGGTCTTCTGGAGAGTGTAGCACAAGTATCTGGGACCATGGTGCCTTGAAGAACCTTTTGGTGAGACTCAGGGGTGTCTTTGCCATCAAGCCAATGCTTTACAGGTCATCCAGCTGGACTGCTGGGACTCAGGCAACCCCTCAAGGTATTTTTCAGTGCAGCACAGGTACAGGACCCTGGTTTGTGAAAATCACCTTGCACCTCAGTACCTAGGACAGGTAGGAGGATAAAATGTTTAACAATATCTTTGGCTGCACCCAGATACAGCCCTTCTATTTTTTTTCCCCCTGACTTTGTTTTTTCCCTTAAAGTAGCTTTCAGGTTGTTTTGCATGTTAACTAGAAGATTACTAAATGTGAAGAGACAACTTTAATCTCATTTCATGTGTGGCTCTGGGTCATGGTTAAACAAAGTTTGTTCACATTGTTCAAATTAAAAGCTAGTCAGCTGGATAATACTTCAGGCTCCTTATTGAGGTATGTGATGCCTGGAAATGGCAAAAATTGAAGGATTAAAAGATAAATTTACATTTGCCCTACAGCTAGTGTTGGTGTCCCTAGAATAATAATTTGGGTCTTGATGCTGGCATGCCACACTCTTCCTACAGGGTAATGAATTATATTTGTGGACTTGAATTTTCAGAAAGAGTTTAGTACTTGAAGGAAAAAGAATATTCTGTCTTTGATATGCTTTGTTTGTTGAAAGTGTGGGTGAGATAGAAGTGACAGGCATTTGTTTTTTAAAATCCAGGTTTAGTGTCCTTTGTCTTAGATATGTTTTGCATCTGTTGGGTATTGCTGTGCTCTTTTTAGATCTTTAATGGTGGTAGAATGTTCTTATGAACACCAGTGGAGGATGGTTTTGTATTTGGTACCTTCTTGTTCTTTCTGATTGCAAATGCAAATTTTATAAATCAAATGCTTTTAAAAAATAGCAAAACTTCAGTTTTACCAGTGCATGGGCTTTGAAAGCTAAATTTTTTAGCTTTCATGCACATGAAGTGAACCTTGATCTTAAAGCAGTGGGCTGTGCACTCTCATTGGCAAAACGTGTGTGCAAACAAGAAATTATAGAAACAAATAACAGAAACAAGGATTTACAGGAAATCATCTGGTCTGTACTACTACTTCTGTGTGTACATTGTTGTTTTCCCTTCTGCCACCCTCTTCCCCCCCCAAAAAAACCCTCAAGAAAAAAGTGAAGCATGCAATTAGTTAGGCTTTAATACAGCTCACTTCCTGGTTCAGGAGCTTACTTACTCAGGAAGTTGGTGGCTAGTTTGAGAAAGTGACAATGAATTGTGTTTTCCAAATAAAATTCAGTTTTACCCCAGTTTGGTTTGTTTGAGGTTTACCTGGTGCAGGACTTGATCTTTCTTTGCCTGAGTTCATGTGAGAAAGTTAACCTTTAGCTCTGTTTTTACCAATAAAATATTTTGGTTTGGCAGCTGTAAAGATTGTTGTGACTGGGAAGTTGGTGCTTAGTTTTGTTTTAACTCTTAACACTTGTGTGCTGGTTGCCAGTGAAGAGAACCCAGCAGGCACCAATTTCCAAGGGAGGAGTCAGGAAGGGACTGCAGCAAGAAGGTTTAGTTACTCCCATCACTGCCAGATCCCAGAGCTTAGATAAATGTCAGATTTCTGCATCCCACCACATGCTCCTGTGGGCTATCTCCTCTTCCAGCTTCTGCAGGCACCCAGGGTGCTTTTGACAGGAGTGAATTTTCACTGAAAACTCATCATGGAAAGTTTAGATTTCTTCAGTATTTGACTGGTACTCAGGAGGCTCATCTCTATTGAGTGGTTATTGTGCTGCTTCAGTTATTTTGATAATTGTGTGATGGTGTTTAATTGCAACATCTACTTTCCCACTGGCTCCTCAGACATTTGTGCTGGTAGTTCCTGTAACACTTAAGCAAGCAGCACATGCAAATCCCCTGGTTCTCATTGAATGAGTTGCTTGTAAGCTTCCAGATCCATTCTGCCCTCTAATTACAGGCATTAGGCAATCTAGTAATTCCATGCTGAATCCAAAGGCACTCCAATTCTCCTTGTCTTCATGACTGGAGGACGTGCACAGGTGCACGTTGCAGTGCACTCTGTGTGTGTCTGGCTGGGTTTTATGGTGTTGGGCAGCCCCATCCATCTCTGGTACAGCCCAAGGCTCTGTGTGCTCTGCGGTGGTGGTGGTGGTGTCCTTGAGAGATCCAGTGTAATTTCCCTTCTGGGAGATCTCTAGAAGTTGCTTTCAGTGGAGGCCATTGTGAGTTGAGCTGAGAGTGGCAGGTCTGTGCTGTGTGCTAGAGCTGGGGGAGCTGGTACAGCAGTGACCACCTTCTGTACAGGAATAGCTGGAATTGTGTCCTCAGGGACTCAGGAGCAGGCTGGGCTGAAATTCCTTCTTAATTTCTGTGAGTTGGCATTGGCACAGGCTGTTATGGGCACTTCATAAGTGCATATTTGTGACCTTCCTTAAAGCTGTTGCTTTCATATCATAACAGGGAGTTTCTTGGTTTGACCATGACACATGCAGGGAGTTTTGATATTTCTAGTCCATCCCAAGTGGTGAAGGGACCCTGTTGCAAACCAGAGGTGTGAAGCATTGCTCTGTAGCTTTCCTCCCTCTACAGCCAGGTAATTAAGAAGGTCTGTTCCTATCACAGATATACCTGGAATAAATCTTCTGGCTTGTACAGAAGATCCACAGGAGAGTGAATCTGTGTCACTGACCTTGGGTAGATGGGATAGCTTCAAAGCCAGGCCCCAAACAAGTCAGCTTGGTCTCAGACTTCAGTGTGACTTGGATTGGGCCCATGTTAGAGATACTTGTGACACCTGTGGGTAAGAGGAGATGTTCTTTTTCCTAAATAACTTTTCCACCATGATGATGTAACCCGGCGTCAGTGGGTGCACTGCAGTACATCTACTCCTGGATCAGCTGCCAGGGGCTGTTTACTGCAGTTTCCAGGCTGAACTTCTCAGAACAGGCTGACCAGGGCACTTCTTAGGTGGCTTCATCCTTTTTCTCTGCCTTTAGAGCTCAAGGCATGTGGGCCCCACAGTGACCCAGAGTAAATATTTTCTCTGATCTACTGACCTGAGCAGTCCAAGGCAGTAAGAGTGCCTCATCACTGAAGTGGAGCCCATGAAAATAAACACAGGGATATTATTGCTTCTCAGTAAGGGCAGAGTAGGGCTTGTGAAACAGCATCCTCTGCAAGAATGTCTTGCTCACCACAGACATCCACAGGGATGCCCAGACTTTAATGCAGGATTAGTATTTTGCCAGCAATTTTCTGGTGAAGATGAGAATATCCCCTTTTTACAGGGACAGACTTACAAGTTCCCTGTTTGAGATGTAGCAAGGGAAGAGAGTTGTTTTTTTCTCACCTGTTTGTTTGTTTTTGTTTTGTTTTGTTTTTTGATGGCACCTAAATTGAGTGAGTTTTCTGTATCTTCTCATTCCCTCTGCTGTTGGTAGCTGGTTTGGGAGGACTTTTGCAGGCCAGTATTGTGCAGTCATTGCAAATGTCAGTTGTATTTATGTTTCTGTCCTTCAGTTGCAGATTGCTGCTGTCCCACAGTAGACTGATGGGCTGAGGATGAGAGATAAGGAGTTTTGTTTTCCAGTGTTACAGCCTGTTTGTTAATGGGGAGAGGTAAAAGGGTATTGCCCCTGCTCTCCCCAAGGAACTGACTGTCCTTTCTCTGTTCCTGAGGGCAGAGCCTCAATTTCCCAGTCCTGCCTTCCTGCCTGGATTTGTGAGGTTTAATGCTGCCAGAGGATCCAGCAGACTCTGTCTGATTTTGCAGCCCTGCAATGGTAGCTCCACTCTGCTACTGCAGTGGCACTGTGGGAATATGTCTGCACAGGCTCATGACACCAGTTTAGATTCTGTGTGCCAGGAAAACAGTTCTTTTACAGGGCTGAGAACTTTGTATGGACCTCTGTGAAGTGGAAATGCTTAAATTCTGCAGGAACAGGTAGATTAGAAGCCCTATTTTCTATGGATGAATGGATTCTTGTGATCTTGGTAGCAATGTTGCTGTTTTCAGTATTATGAAGAGTTAGAATTCCCATCAGGGAGGCTCAGCTGGTTTGCTGAGGGCTGTGGCTGGTGCTGTGTTGTCCTTATAGCCCCCAAATTATCTGCAGCAGAGGGAACGCCTCAAAGCCGTGGCACGCTCCTGGGCCTGCAGGTCAGGACAAGGCTCTCCACAGTTCCTCTGCTAGAGGCTGAGTGTGCTTAGCCAGGAGCTGGTAATTGCCTGCTGCCTTAATAATAACAATTATCAGGTTTCAAGTCTTGCTTCATGTTTGGAGGAGGGTGATCAGCCTGTCCTTTCCTGGGCCTGAGCTGAATTGGGAAAAAACAACTTTTGAATTCCTGCTGTTCTGTTGAAAGATGGTGTTTTAACCATTCCTGTATAGATTTCCTTGAGTACAAATTGCAGAAATACTACAGAGCCCTTTTGTTGGAGAGAATATAGAGCACAGCCAAGAGATGCTGGACTTTTAATAGACAGAAAATGGTATGGGACTGAGTACACAGTGATATTTCAGCAGGAGGTTGGGGAGAGCTTTGTTAAAGATGAGGCAGTGCTTTCTTTAGAAGATGCAAGTGTGTTTTGAAGACTTGCACCTGAGCTGCCTCTTAGTATCCTTAAAATCCCTTCACAGAATCTCCCCTTCTGGGAGAGGAGTCTCGTGAACTCCAGCTGAGTGCCAGTTCATGGGGAAAAGGCTCAGTGAGGGGAGAGAAACTTTATGTACATGTGCACTGCTCTCACGTGTTGGGAGGCCAGGACCACCTGATAGCCATGGTGACACTTTAGCTGTGCTTGTGCCTCCTAGACCAGTGAGGCTTGGGAGTGGTGGGAGTTTATTTTCTATTCTAAGCGCTGCTTAACTTATCTGTGTCCCTTGCTGCTTCCCATCCATGTATTTTACAAGTTAGATTTTTAATTTCCTGTGTTGTGTTAAAGCTGTGTGCAGCCTCAGCTGTGTTTTCATAAGGATTCCTCCCTTCTAGCTGACTGGCTAGAGTGATGTTTTGAAGCTCCTGCCAGCCTGTTTTAGTGTCTTACTAGAGAACAGCTGGAAGAGCTCTAATGAAGTCCCAAGTAATTTACAGGGACCTTTTAGAAAAGAAATTATTTTATTCAGCTGGAATGGTGTTTGCTTGAAGCCTGACTTGCTCAGTGACTGACAAGGAGGCAGGCTGGTAGCACTTTTGATCCTGGGGTTTGTTCAGCAGGCTGTTCCCAGCTTTGGCGAGAGTTTCGTACGTGTAGTTCTTAAAATAACGAGAGCTGATGCTGCACTGCTCTGATTAGAAGAGCCAGTTGAAAATTATTTTAATCCCTTCAATGTTTATTTTCACACCATGGTCCCTGGGAAGCCTGTATCTCAGGAGAGGCCACTCCACAGCTTCTATATTTGCAGATTTTGATCACTAATACATTCTTTTAAAAAACTTGGCTTGTGAAAATATTTTGAGATATTCTCTCTGTATCTGTGGGTGGAGGGTGGCAGGTGATGGTTTGCAGGGGTCATTTGGTAAGGTCTTTTGTCAAGTACTGAACTGTGGTTCACCCAAACACGGGGTTTGGGATTAGATTTCTGGTTTGGTTGGGTGATGATGCACAAGGGTTAGGCCTAGACTTGGATTCATAACCTAAAGGTACAGATCCCTGCTGGCCATGTGCCCTAACCTACTGTGAATTTAACCTATCAGCCCTTCCAAGGTCCAGCATGACCCTTAATGACTCTTTCAGGTTTAAACCCTGGTCCCAATTGCCTTTCCTCTTAGCTCCACCTTTAGACCTAGTCTTTGTGATAAAGCTCTGACCTTGGGTATCCAGCTGCTGCTGACCATAACTCACAGGTAGCCACAGCCCTGCTTTATGCTTGCCTGGATCTGCCTGGCAGCCCTTGCTGAGGGAAGCCCTAAACCTCACCAGATGCCACTTTTGGACACAGTTAATGACCCAGATTCAGCACCCAGGGCTGGCCTGAGTTCACCATGAGGGACTCGGGGCTGAAAACAGCCCTGACCACAGAATAAGCTGGGAATGCAAATGCTCTCCCTTGTTGCCTGTAGGAATCATTCAGAAATGGTGTGTGGGGAAAATACATCATATGTGGGAATAAAATGACAAATTAGAGTTAATTGCTGTGAGACACTGCCCTGTGGGCTCCTCAGAGAACTGGCACTGTAAGTTTTTCATCTGTGGTTGTTTTTCTTTCCTCCTTGCCAGCTATGCGGACACTTAGTGAAGACACCATCAGGCTCTTCCTCCAGCAGATAGCAGGTGCCATGAAAATGCTGCACAGCAAGGGCATCATCCATCGGGACTTGAAGCCCCAGAATATTCTCCTTTCCTATGCTGGGGGCAGGAAATCAAATCCCAACAACATTCGCATAAAGATCGGTAAGGAACCACTCCAAGGTCAGCCTAACCACTCAGGAGTTTGGTGATGGACACATGGAAACCTCCATCTGACTTTGGAGAGCTGTCTAGGAGGAGAAAAGCTTTTCTCCACTTTAAAAACACTGTAATGTTTCTCATTCTTAGCTCCTCTGGTAAATGCAGCCTTCTGCTGCCTGCAGGCAATAGGAGCAAAAGCTTTCTGCCCTGCCAGGACACAGATTTGACACAAAGGAATTGGGCAGGCCTTGCTCTGCTCTCAGTTGAATGGTGCCACCCTCAGTAAAAACAAACACCAGCCTGCCCTAATTGGCTTGTAATCTCCAGGCTTACCAGGAAATAAGCAGAAGTTGTGACTTTTGTCTTCAGCTTCTAACAGTATTGAGGTTAAATGTTGTTGTCCGAAGACCTGACACTCGTTGCTCTCCTGGCTTGCCTCAGAGTGGGTTGTCAGGCAGACCCAAAAGTGGGAGTTTTCTCAGTCTGAACCAGAGACTGGCTTCTAAGCTGCATCTTGAAGAAATTCACATTCTGCACATTAGGCAAATGGCACAGATGGACAGTAGTTGGGATGAGTGCTCCAGAAATCCAGTTACAGAGCACATATTCCCTGCAGTCTCTCAAAAATAAGATGACAACACCCTCACATGTGGGCTTTTGGTTATGTTACAACTCAGAGCTGAAGCTGACACCAGTTAGGTAAAACTGTTCCTCACCTTAACCCTGTGCTGTGGAGAAAGTGTTAGTGCTTTCCTTCAGCTGGGAGATGATTTCCAGTGGAAAAGTTTGAAATGTTGCTGCTTGTTCGACTGAAGCATTTTGATGTGGTTTTTTTGTTTTGTTTTTTGTCAATGCAGAGTTAATATGTGTAAGGAAGGGATTGGGAGCTGCAAACAGGCAGGAGGGCTGTGGGCACAACTGCTTTGGGTGTGATGTAACCTGCAACCCTCCTTGTGCTCCCTGAGGAGTACATGGTCCAGGGAGAGCCTGGCTGTACCAGTTCAGTAGTGACAGATGACAGTGTAAACAGCTGTGTCAATGTCCTAGCTTGAAATATCTGGTAACCTTGAGAGAACATCTCAGTGTCATATGATCAGATGCCCAGTAACCTGCAGAGGTAATTCCTCTTGGTATTCCTTGTTCCTGGCTCTTCTACTTGCTTAATGAACTGTGGCTCAGTTATCTGTCCTAGTGCTGGGGTTAGCACAGTTGGTACTCTTCTAAAGGAACAGAACAAGCCTCATTTTGGTAGGGCTGGTCTAGAAATGTGGGTAGTGGTGAGTGGAGGTTCCTCCTGAATGTGTTTCACATTGCAGCCTTTTCAATGGAAGGCAACTTTCAGTTCCCCAAATGAAAGGCTGAGACAGCAGCAGATGAACTGGCTGGTTTTGAACTGGCACATTCTCACTGAAGTCAGGAGAGCCTTCCCAGCTGACATTTCAGAGTGCAGGCAAATGGGTTCTGATCCCTGAAAGAGGGATGGGAGTTTGTTCATCTGAGTACTGTTGGGCCTTGCTCTGTCCTTTTGTAGTGTTTGTACTGTGCATTAATAACTAGCACAAGGATGCTTCTGCTCAAGAAGAGCTGTCAAAGTCTTGCTAAGATGGGATAGAGGTTGCAAAAATTGATGGGGAGTGAAGGTAAAGTAGGAAGAATGAACTGGAGAAGGTGCAGGCTCTCCAGAGCTGGTGTCTGCCCTGACCTACCTCTGTTTCTCTTTGCAGCTGACTTTGGGTTTGCCCGGTACCTGCAGAACAATATGATGGCAGCAACATTGTGTGGCTCACCCATGTACATGGTAAGTGTAATTTTTCTAGAGGATTTTCTGTGTTGTTCTTGCTTTGCTCCCCAAAAGCAAGGCTTTGTTTTTATCTAGTCTTTTCCCCAGAGGTGAAATTTTGTTTACTTGCCTGAAACCAGCACATTCCTGAAGTTTTGGCTGCTGGTAATGTCAGACAGCAGGTGCCTGTGCTGTCATGTAACTTCCAGGTGAGATGTGGATAAACCAGCTTTCAGGATGGCTGCTTAGACTGTGAAACTGATGTGTGTAAGAAACCAAACTGATCCCTTTTACCCTCTTTGTACTTTCCACTCTGGGATCAGGTTGTGAGTGATCTCTTATTTGTGCTCGTGGCAGCAGTCAAGGTCTCGGTGTCACATCAAGTCAGTGAAAGGAAAAATGAGAAAACCAGACAGAAATAAAAATGTCATAACCAGACTTGTAATAGTTCCTGGGGACGTGGGTGTCTGAGCTCAAAGTAAAAAGATGATGTGAGTCAATTTAGGTTGAGGTTTTTACAGGTGCCCTGGGGTAAAAGGCACCTCATTTCAAACACTGTCTAATCCACTCTTTAAGTTTTTTGTCTGTAGTGTTTGGGCAGAGTTAGGCTGGACTGTGCTGCACTGCTCAGGCCTAGTGCATTTGGTACTCTGCTCCACAGAACTACCTCAAGCAAAACACACTTCCTCTGTCTCCCTTATTTGAAGCCTGATGTTTATTTGAGCTATGCTATATGTGAAGATGATGTAACTCTCCTCTCCTGTGAGAGTTTCCTGAGTTGTCTATTTTTAGTGATACTTTTTCTTTCAGAGTCCCTTGTGAAAGTAATTGAAAACACCCAGCTTATTTTCTGAAAGGGCTGGAGGAAACTAGTGATGATAGTTTTTTTCTATTTGTTTTTTATTTTTATTTCAAACAACACTGGATGTTACAAGAAATCTCAATGTTTCATATTGTTCTCTGTTTATTGATGGGTTTGAAGGAAGATGGGAAGGGAGGGTTCAGTTGGGATTCAGGGAGGGTTTTGAAGTCTTTGCCTACTGCTATTGTAGGTCTTGTGCAGGAGCCCTGGGAGCATCTGCTGGCAAGGCAGGACTTTATTCCCTGCTTTAGCTCACAGCCTATTGCTGCTTTATGTCATTTTGCTCTCTAAAAAAAAAACCAGAATGGTATTTTACCCCTACAAAAGGAGCTTTCTGTCTGAACCCCAGTATGAACTATGCCATGGCAAGACTTGAAACCTCCTTGTGCCGTTCTTGTCCTGCTGCTTTGGCTTTTTTTGGTGTCCTGCCTCCTTCCCTTAGGGACAGACCAATCTCCTGTCCACAATTTACTTGTTGCCATTTTTTTTTTCCATTACGTGTGGCCTTTACTTCTAACAGAGCTAAAAAATTGATCCTGTTCCATGCTGGCAGCAGTGCAATGACATCTGTAGTTACAAACACGAGGGATTAGCCAGCCTGGCCTCCTGTCCCTGCTCTGCTGCTGCTCCTGAGGCTCTGCCTGCTGAGCCAGGGGCTCTGGGGGCTTGCACTGTCCCCAGCTTTGGGAGGGAGCAGCTGAGGGCACAATGTGGGATTAGAAACCAGAGTCTGAGGCACAGCAGGGCTCAAGCTGTTGGACTGGAACACTGCCTTTGAACCCAAACTGTGACCTTGGCACCAGGCCCTGGAGCTGAATTAATGTGCTGCCATCTTGGGCTAAATGAGGGAAGTGCCCAAGTGGTGCAGCTCAGGATGGAGGCTGGAGTTTACCTGTGCAGTGGAAGCCTTTGCTGCTCTGCATCTTTCTCCTTGCTTGGGTTGAGAAGATCTGTGTGTGATTTCAGCAGGGTTTCTCCTGGTGGATTCAGCAGAAAATGGTACACTGGGAAAAGGGGAAGTACTGAGTTTCCCAAAATACACAATATTAGGATGTATTTTTGTCTTCTGAATGAAAGTCTATGCTTCCCTCACTTAAATAGGGAAGTGGCCCTTTCAGTGTAGTGTTACAGTCTTATTGGGAGTCAATCTTTCATGGTTATTGGGGAATCTAGCTCAAGAGGTTTTATAGCATAATAGTGACTTATCTCTTGGAGTTGCTTAAAAAAAAAAAAACAAACAAAAAACCAAACCACCAAAACTATTCCTTTTATAAAAGAAATTTCTCTTTTCTCCCCCAAAAGGCACCAGAAGTCATTATGTCCCAACACTATGATGCCAAAGCTGACCTCTGGAGTATAGGAACCATCATTTATCAGTGTCTAACAGGAAAGGCTCCCTTTCAGGTGAGTTGCTTAGATTTGATGTTTATGACTCTCTCCTACTTTTTTAATCTCTTATTTTTTCCTGCTAATCTGGTTACTCTAAGGCTTCTGTCATCTCTAATACCAACTCCCATAGATCCAGCCCCCATAGAAGATCTGGCTAACACCTTGCCAGTGTTGTGCTTTATATGTTGTAATTCTGGTTGTGTTACTAGAATATGACTGTTCTCTGGGCTGCCTCTCATTAAAATGTATTTCCCAGTTATAGGAGCTTAGGAAGGGTCACTTATTAAGAAAATTACCATGAATCAGTTAAAGCAGTGGGGTTTTTTTAGGCCTACACTTAGGAAATCAGTTTCTATTTACAACTGTAGTCAGTGTATAATTTATAGTTATAATTCTGTTGGATATAGAAGGACTATAGGGAAGATTGTAATTGCAAGTTAATGTTCAGGATGATTTGGTGCTAAGTAGTGTATTGCAGCTAAATCAACTTGGTTTTCAGAGCAGTTAAGGAGGATAATATCAAAAGGTTCTTATCTGTCATCTCACAGCAGTCTCTTCCAGCCTGAAATGTTTATGTTCATCAGATCCAAACCCCTCCAAATATAACACAGCCCTGTAAAGCTCCACCCTGTACTTAATGCCATAACTTCTGCATGAGCTGCAGCATATCCTTTGTGAACAGCATTCTCTGATTTTTTTTTTTTTTGAATGGTGGAGAATTCACCACAGCCTTACTCCTGTTGCTTCAGAATTACTTCACATATTTTTTATCATCCATAGCTGGAATTCATATAGACTCAGTGTTTTTGTTTTTGTTAGCCACACTGTGTGCTACTTTACTTCTTCCATCTCTGAGTGAGATCAGCAGACTCTCCCTTGAAATTACTCTTTCAAAGTATTGTTTTTGTCAGGTTTTTTTCCCCTTGCTTTCTGGCACTCTCTTATGTCCTGACATAACTTTATCCTGATTCCCTAACTAAACAAAATGGGAAAAATAAAAAAAAAAAAAACAAAAACCAAAAATGAATAAAAAGGAAACTAAAACAAATAGCACAAAAGAAAGAGGCAAATTTATGCTCAAGTAATAAGGCAAATTTCATGAAGTGAAGGACTTTATGAGCTTTAGTTCCACAGCTCTTTAGGATTTCACACAAGACCTGGAATGTTTATGCAGTTACATCATCAGGGAGGATAAAGTGAGTTCTGAGTCTGTTGCAGGAAGGAGTGGGCAAATACAGGAGTAAACTAATGGTATGTTTTGGTTTTGTCTAAAGCCAAGAACACTTTTTTCCTTCAGGGTAATTTTTTCCCTGCTGCTATAAGAATCTTCCACTCCAATGCTTTATATTCTGTCCACCAGCTTCCTCTGTATTTAGAGCAAGACTTCATTTCCTTTGCATGTTACTTTTTTTATAAACCCCTGCAAAATGCACTGAAACTTCTGAATGGCTTCTGTTTAATGGCTGCATCCCCTTGTCATCAGTGCTGGTATCTTTGTTTGAGAGGAGAAAAGGACTGTTAGGATGAAAGAAAATAAATATTTGTGTGTTAAGAAGAAAATGGAGGGGAGGAGAAAGCAAGCTCTGACTGCATGCATAGGAGAGCCTGGCACAGATTCTCCCTTGTATCTTGGTGCCTTTTAGTTATTAAAGGCACTTTGATACCTCCTCATTCAAATGATTTAATTACTGTTTAATGTGGTGACTTTATCATAGGGGTTCTTTGTCTCTGATGGAGGCATGGCAATGCCCTGCCTTGGAGTGGGCAGTGAAAGGACACTTCAGTCCCTGCCCAGCAGTTCCTGACCTGGTTTTGTGCCTGCCTCATTAGATAACTCTGTCCCATAAACATCTGTTGGGCTGGGAATGGGGGTTATTGGTTTCTCTATTCCAGTTTTCCCCACACTCTTTCCTCTTTTGGAGGTTGTATTTGGAAACAAAATGCCAGGCCCTGTTTGTGACTGCAGTAGCAGCTGTGGATGTGTTTGATCAGGGAGAGAGAGGAGCTCAGCCCAGATGGTTCTTTGTGCCCCATCTATTTGTTTTGGCCATGCATGTCACAAATTGCTTTCCAGTTTGAGATGCAGGTGAAAGAAGCCTGTCCAGGGGGAGCTGGTTAAAGGTTAACTGGCTTTCTGTCTTTGTTGGCATGACTGTGTTGTAAGAATTTGCTGATGGGCACTGAGCAGGCAAGAAGCTGGTGTTTAAAGGGCTTTTAGGAGAAAAGAGGGGTAGGGAACAGAGGTGATTGGGACACCATGAGCAGGAATGAGCTTTTAGGAGAAGAGAAGGGTAGGGAACCGGGTGATTGAGCACCATGAGCTTTTGGGAGGGATTACCAATGGGTGGGAAGAAAACAGGCAGATTCCACATAGTGCCACCAGCAGACCCAGTTGCACAGGGAAGCCAGGAACTGGAATTCTGAGTGAACCTCTTCAGGCTAAATCCTCACTGTGCCTTCCCTCCCAGGCTGGCAAAGACAGCCCCTCTTCTCTGTCTAGCTGAGATTCCCATGGGAATCTGGAGCTCATGAAACATTCTGAGTTTGGGTGCCACTACCTGAGCCAAGGAGGCACCTTCAGGAGGAGGCAGACTAAAAGCACTCCAGTGTTATCTGCAGTGAGGAGGAATGAGCTGCCTAAAAATAAAATAGGGCTTCGGGGAAATGGGTTAGATGGAAAAAAGATCAAATGTGTGGAAAGGCTGAGGCAGCTGTCAATCCTGAAAGTGCTTGTAAATCAAGACAGAGATGTGCATGTGCATGAATGTGATTTCTGGCTGTCTCAGAGTTAAAATTAACTATAGCTGGGTCACCCAAGGCAATTTCCCAGAGCCATTCCTGTCCCTTCCATGCCTCACTGCACACAAAGAAGGAGGAAGCTGCTGATGCTCAGATGTGAACAGTTGGTAGGATGGCTGGTGAAGCTTTCTTAAGGAGCTTTTTGTATTAAACATGGCCATAAACAAAACAGTGAGACTGCCATAGGGATGAGATTAATGGGATTCATAATCCCTATAAACAGATTTGCTGAGCTCTGTATTAATGTGGAATTGTTAATTTGCCTTGCCTAATAAGTGGTCTGCACTCACATCTCTGCTTTTCTGTCACTGAGGACAGGACTTGAACAGTGCATTTCCTGCTGACCAGACCTGGGAAGTGCCTTGGGAGTGTAGTGGTTTACTCTTGTCCATACCTGAATTGAAAAGTTTGGGACCCCATTCTCACTGTGAGGAGGTGCTGGCTGTGTAAACAAGTGACAACCAGAAGCAAAGCTGGAGGCAAGAGAAGAAAGATTTACACAAGGTCTAAAACAATCCCAAACCAATCTAGTCCTTGTCAGATGGTGTTTTAAATATGATTAGTTAAATGACCTCAATCTCCTCTTTCTTTTTTTTTTTTTTCCCTGTGTGGGAGGAATCACACTGATATTTCTGGTGGCTTCTGTTGTGTGACCCCTTTTAAATCTGGGCAGCTCTTGGTAAGCAGACACCCCACTGAGCACATGCAGGTTGTGTCAGAGCTGGCTCTGGCAGTGGCAGTGGGACATCAGATCCTGCCAAACACCCTGAAACCTGGTTGTCTGAGCCCTTGCAGGAATCTGGAGCTTTCTTTGGACATGGTGCCCTGTGTTTGGGGGAGAGTGAGCCAAAGAGTAGGGAATTGATAAGAAAATCAGGGCAAGTTTTTCTGCAGCTCTGAAAGAGTTAACCTGCCTGTTTATGTTCTCATCCCAGCTAGCTGTTAGGTGAAAAATTAATTTCTAAGTCTGGTGTACCAAGTTCACTGCTTTAATTCTGAGTTAATTCTGTCTGCATAAGTACTGGGATTATGTATCACTTACAGCAACTGCTATGTTGTGAAATGGCCTTGAGGAGCACCAGGAAAGGCTGGATTTTATGCCAAGAATTTGAACCCCTGGTATATTTGTTAGGCAGCTTGCTCTTCTGTTCCCAGCTCTGTTCCTTTGGAGTGCCCTGTGTTCATGGGGACAGGAATTCCTGGAACTGGAGGGTAATTCTGCTGAGACTGGGTGCAGTGAGTGACTTGTTGCTGTAGTCAATGGACCATTGCCTTTTGGACCAGTGTTTGTGGGTCTTACCCTGCTCTGTTGGCAGTAGAGTGAAATCCATGGACTACTAAAGAAAAATATTCAGGGGCTGGGGTTTTGTTTGCTTGTTTCTGGTCCTTGGGCTTTCAAGTCCTCTGAATGCCAACCACTTAGTTGTGGGAGTCTTAAAGTATCAGAAAGCATTTTCAGTAGGTTTTCAAGTTTTTCCCTAGAGCTGCCGAGCTAGAAGCCACATTACTTATTTATTTTTTATTTTTAACATAACTGAGTCCCCTTTCTTCACCTCTAAATCCCCAAGGCAAGGATTCAAAGAGCAGAGCAATACCATACACCTGCTATGGAGTGTTGGATAGACAGGGAAGGTGTGAAAGTCTCTGGCCCTCTTCTGTCTGGATGTTGGGCTTTTGTGTCCAGCCTGGCCCAAGCATGACAAATCCACTGCTGAGTGCTTTTGGAAGCACCACCCTGCCTGCTTTTCACATGCAATTCACTGCCAGGCAGCCAGCACTGAAGGGGATTTGGCAGGGTTCTGCTGAATGCCTTTGTTGGCTCAACATATTTCCACTGCTGCTCAGGACAAAGTAACAGAGTGGCAGGATTGAATTTGCCCAATTGCCTCTATATATAGAAAGGGTAGACAAAACCAAAATGCAGCTGCTCCTAGTGACATGAGAGGGGGACTGAGGGTGTGCACTGACCTGCTGGGGTGCCCTCCTGGCCCTAGGGAAAGCTGAGCTGTTCTGCATCCCTGGTTCTGATAGATGGGTGCTGGCCCATGGGTAGAAGTTGGCTCTGTGTACCTTGAATGGAGTGGTTGTTTCGTGCCTCTGGTGTTTTTCTTGGGCAGGGTGTATCTGCCTTGAAGGCAGATTTCAATTTAAGTTCTTAGCTTCCTAGGTGAGGGAATTCAAGTGACATTTTTGCTATATTACAAACTTGAGTTGGTTTTTTTTTTTTCCATGCTTCTTAGAGAAGCAGCATTTATTGAAAGGAGAGGTGAGCAAAGTGGCTGAGGGTCCTAGTGCTTTATGAATTGTATGACAGCAAGAGAGCAGTGGTGAGGTTACAGAGAGCAGAACTGTGTGACTCAGTCAATTAATAATGAAGTTACATGAAGCTGCAGGTGGTTTTACCAAATTATTGGTGATCCATGGCTGGCTGTGCTGGGCACTCACTGGAATGACTCTCTTCCCCTGGAATCTGCTCTGGGGCCAGCCTTGAATCACCGGCTCAGGCACAGCCCAAGGGAGGGAGTGTGGTCTGGGTGGGGAGGAGCCTGGCAGGGCAAGTGCGGCTGGAACTGAGACAGCAGAACCTGCAGGAGCAGCATCCCTACAGGGACGTCTCTTGAATCTGTACAAAGAGGAGGAAAACTTCATTGAGAACTTAGTTTATGTCCAAGCCAGTGCTTAGAAACCTTCTCTAATGAACTGGTCTGCATATATGTGCTGCTTTAAATATACTCCCTCTTTATTGCCAGGAAAATTCTGACAAAACAGTGTTTGAAGTAGATCAGAGCTTCATTGTATTTGTGAAACAATTGAGCTGTTGCAACAGGAAATGACCAGAGCAAGCAGCCAAGGCTTGTATCTCTCTGAAGTGAATGAGCCCTTCCCTCCCTGGGCTGGAGTTCTGCCCCTCCTTTTACTTTGTCTGTCAGGAATATTTGTCATCACTCTGGGCAATGTGGCCAGGATATTTGGTGCAGTGTGTATGCTTGCCTCCCTAAAGTTTGCCAAATATTAATGTAATTACATTCCAAGATCTGCCAGGGGAAGGTGTAAAATGGAGTTTTCCTGAATCAAATTGAGTGGCAGCAGCTGGAAATTATGATGCAGTTTGGCATCTGTGTAACAAGGTGCTCTGCTTTAATTTTGATGTTCTTTTGGTGTAGCTTCTGTTGGTAAGGCTGTGTAAAAAACACTGCCCTGATGAATACTACACAAGTGTGTTGATACTATCAGCTTTTGAGACTACCTTTGGTTTCTTTTGAGGTTTTTTTTACTGAGCTCTCAGTTATCCTAAATTTTCATCTTCAGCCAGAGGGAGTAGGTGGTGTTGAAACAGCATCTTATGTGGCTGCTTTTCCAGCCATCCAGTGATCTGCAGATTGGCCTGTCTGATTTGCCATTTTAAGCATCTTAATTGACCTTAAATGCTTCTAACTTAGAAATAGAAGTAGGTGGAAGGCTCAAGGGGTTTTTGAGCCTGCCCTGAACATCAGGAGAAGCTGCCTGTTGCCTCCTCATTCACACTTTCCTACACACTGTGCTGCACTAATAATTGATTGCAGATGAATCCCTCTGATCTTCCTGCCCTGTTTATGTGTCTCCATGTCTGTGTCGTGCCAGTCAGCCTGCTCTGCCTTTAATAAAGCAACTTTGCCTAAGCAGAAAAGCTTGAGACTCTAGGGTTAATTTACTGGCCTGTATTATTCATTGCATGAAAACAAGTGGAGAATTTATATTAGGGGATTTTTATCTGTCTGTGCTTGTCTACTGGTGATTTTATTTTTAACCTCAGCTGTAAACCTCTTGTGTCTAGCCCCCACCTTTTTTTTAATCCCATCTCTCAGAATTTGGAATCTTGTCATCAACATCCCCCACTGTGTTTATTACTGCACAAATAAAATAGTGCTGTGGCTTGAGACCTTCTGGCTTCCTGGAACTAAAGTAGAAAATCCTAATTCAGTTGCTGTTGCTCCGTGTTCCCAGCCTCATCACAGATCCCTTGCCCATCATCAGGCTCCCTGCCCCTTTTCTAAATGCCCTGCAGCATTAATCCATGTTCTCAGCAGGAGCTGCCATTCATCATTTGGGGCTCCTCACGTCTACAATTATTTTGTCTCCTGGGTGAGGCTATTAGGCCAGCTCAAACCTGAGCATCAGAGCCCAGTGCAGTGAAGCTCAGCCTGTGGAAGGGCAGAGCAGGACAGAACCAGGTCAGGGACAAAAGGGCAGCAGGTTGGAATATTGTATTTTCACTGCAGCACAGGGCTGCCTTTTCAGTCTAAAGCAAGCTGCATTGTCTGTGCTGGTCCAGCAATTAAAAAGAGCCTCTGCTCTTCAGAGCTACAGTGAAATAAAGATGCTAATCCCTTTCCTTCATTGTCAACTGCTTCATGTGCTGGTTTCTTTCTCCCCCACAGGCCAGCAGCCCACAGGATCTCCGCCTCTTCTATGAGAAAAACAAGATGCTGATGCCCAAGTAAGAATTTTTCCAGTGTCAATGTTTGTAGGCACTTGTTTACTCTGTGTTTACACCTGTCCTTGCATGCTCCTGGCTTGTCACTTGGGGAGGTGACTGAAGCATTTGGCCTCCTGCCTTTGCCCATCCCTGAAGCCAGCAGTGATGTGGCCCAGGGGAAGTCGGACAGCAGCAGACAGCCAGGGCTGGGGTGTCCTGTCCCTCTGCAGGCACTGTTCTCCTACAGTGCCAAAATTCAGGGCTCTTGGTGATTCCTAGAGCCAGCCAGAGGTCCTGTTGCACACGAGGCTGCCCTGAGGCCGAGAGCCTTGGGAGGGACTCAAGGCAGCTCTGGGATGGTGTGAGCAGCCAGGCTGCAGCTCTGCTGGAACCTGCTGCACCTGACTGAGGATCACATTCCCACTTCTCACGTGTCAGGGCAGCAACTGCTTGTGTCCATCCTGCTCTTGGGGGAAACACTATCACCTCCCTGGAAATGGACACTGCTGCAGTTTGCAGGGGGAAGAGAGCTGCTCTCATCCCAGCAGGGTGTATGTTACCTCTCTGCTGTGATTTGTCAGGGTATTTTGGTTTTGTTGCTGTGGTCCTTTTCATTTCTGAGCTTTGAAAGCAGAAGCTCATGCTGGCTCTGAAAACCTCAGCCTGGTACAGAGACAGGACTGAAGTTCCAGATTGTGTATCTAAAATCTGGATGGCCTTTTTTAACCAGAAAGTTATCCTCCAGTTGGCAGAGCTGCTAATGCAGCCATAGATGCAGGAAGTTCATTGGGTTACTGTATATGGATTTTTCTTTTCCCTTATCAATTCAGACAGCTCCAAGAGATAACTGGAAGGAACTGTCAAGAAGCTGGAGCTCTTATCAATTATTACCTGCGTATCTTGTGATATGCAGTTAATTTCCCTTTAATTACTTCCTTTTTTTGATTTGGGGAGAAGACAAAAATTTCTACCAGGATTATCTCTGGGGCACTTGGACTGAACCAGAGGGTGTGATGGAGTAAAACACCTAAAACCAAACAATTTAAAGCAAAAATGTGACTGCATAGTTGGAGCCAGTCTGTGTGAGCAGAAATTAGAGCTTCTGTTTTTGCTACACAGCCCAAAACATGGCTGCTCACCTTTAAGGTGGCCCCTCTTCTAAATGAGAAATTAATCCATAAAACTAAGTTTTCTTGTGTTGATCCCACTGCCCTGCTGTTGTTTGGCTCATGGTGCAGGGAAGGGGAAAATTGAACTCAGCTGTAAGAGGAGAGCATGTCTGTTCTTGTAGGGATTAGTCCTTTGAGTCCTTCACAGTCTGCATTTGCCATTTTCACTTATCTGCACTTTTGAACTACCAAATTCTTCCAAAATTCAGCTCCAAGGTGATTGTTTTTCTCACTGTGGAAGTCAGATCTGACCTGGCCTTTGTGTAAATGGCAATTTCCTCTTTCCAAAGTCAGCTTGTCTCTTTTGCATGGGCTGCAATCTGTGCTATTCCTGAGTAAACATGAATAAACTCCTTGAGTGCCCTGCCAGCACAGGATGAAACACAAAACTACTCCAGAGACCTCATTCTCAGACTGCAGCAGTGCCAGGATTTGGTTTCATTTTCCTTGGGGCTATGCAGGCTGGCACACACTTCTTGCCATGGCAGGGGAAGGTATTTTAGCTTGGGAATGGAGTGGGAAGCAGTCCCTGGCTGCACTGCTGCTGCTCCAGGTGAGGAGATGCTCTTCTGAGCATCCAGGGGAGCCCATGGCAGCAGAAGCCCAAAGGCCTCACAATTTTAATGGTGATGATCTAAACAATTAACATTCATTGTGCTGGTTTGCATGGCAAAGTACATCCAGGGCATAGGGGCAAGGAGACAGATTTGTTGCTCCTAGAAAATAATACTGAAGGGTAGCAAAGCTAATACTGAATGTTGGTCCTAGAAAATAATACTGAAGGGTAGCAAAGCTTGATGCTTTGGACATAGGAAGTGAGAGGAGACAAACAGGCTGCTAATCTGCACCCTCTTCATCTGTGTTGTGCCATTTGAAGTCCATGAGTTGATGTGCCTGTTTCTTGGCTTTAAAACCAAGGTTAAAGTCATAGCTGGGAAATGGACTTGTTTTGAATGAGAGCTTTATGTGTCACAGATAAATAAATGATGGTGATAACACTGCAGGGCTGCAGGACTCCAGCACTAATGCATTTTTCAGGAGGCTGCTTGCTGTGGTGTCTTTGGGTTATTCCATTACACAATGTGCTTCCAAGGGACACCTCCTTTGATGGGAGGCTCAACCTGAGTCTCAGTCTGAGATGGTGCACAAAACCAACAGACACCTCTCCAGGGTCTTGGTGGCCTCCTCCTGTGTCAGCCTGAGATGGTGCACAAAACCATTCTAGCATCAGGGATGGAAAAGCAGCTCCTCCAGTACAAACAAGGATGAGGGATGCTTGCCATCATTCTCTGATCCTGGGTTCAAATTCCTGCCCCAGCAAGGCCTAGGGCTTCACAGAGAAATAGCTGGATGCTACTGAAATGTGTAAACACATACCTTGGCTGCCATCTCCTGTTTCTGTGAACAGTTTGGTACTGCTAGCTAGCCCCCTTTTTTTCCCCCTCAGTATTTTTGAGCTTCTGTTTTACCCCTGTCTGTGGCAGGGAGTGTTGGTGGAGATGATAAAGGAAGGAAGGGTTTTTTCTCACAGCATTGGTCAGGCTTGGCCTCAGGGCAGTGACTGATGCCAGAGCCACGTGCAGAGCCACTGAGAGCTAAAATTACTGTGCTGGGCACACATGTCATTACCTCAGCTGACCCAACATGGGGAGAGGGGAAAGCCTGGCAGAGCGTGGGGGCCATGCTGGGAACAGCCATGGTAAACTGAGTTAATACTGAGAGGAGCTGCACCCACCCACGCCTCTCCAGGAGAGCTCTGCCCCAGCCCAAAGCCCCCAGCAGCACTTCTGGGGATGGAGGCAAGTCAGCAGAGCTGAATCCACTTATGCAAGAGCTGAACTCTGCTTTCCTTGCCTTAATCCATTCATTTATTCCCTGCATTTTTCAATCTGCAGGGGTTATGAAGAGCTGTCCTGGCCTCTTCCCCCATCTGCTTGTGGGGTGAGGGAGAGCACAGTGCTTTACCAGCTCTTTTGTGTTTCAAAGGCTATTGAAAATAATATTTTCTTCCTAACTGTGCTGAAAAGTGATGTAATAACTGCACAAATTTTAGCTTGCTGAGGTGGCAGTTGCTCACATCTTAGTGGCCTTTGATTAATCTATGCTCTATATCCAGGAACCACATAGACAAAGGTTACTTGCTAGTCTTACATAAGCTGCACTGAAAAATAAATGCCTTAATAAAATGGTGGTAATTGGTGATACATTTCACCACCAGTGTCTTAATTGGAAGCTTCCCCTTGGAAACTGCTTTGTTCTAGTGATCTTATTCCCATTAGAGCAAGTAGGAGTGATTTTATTTATTATGTGTGAAATACTGCAAGTGGAATGGGCTTAGCTGAGCACCAGAGGGATGACACTATGAAGGGAAGGATCTGCAGGTGCTCGTGGGAGAAGCCACTGAAGCAAGATGAGCTGTAGCCTGACCAATGGCAGTAGGGAGTGAAACTCAAAATAAATACATCAGTGATCAGCCTCCCTCCAGTGAGCTCCTGCTGTTCCTGGCCCAGCAGGCATGGAGTGAGTTTGCATGTGCCAGTTGCCTTCCTGAATATGTAAAAGCAGTTTAAGTAGACTGCCAGTCTCTTACTTTGCTGTTGTTTTCAATCCTAGCATCCCCAGGGAGACATCAAGCCACCTGAGGCAGCTCCTGCTGGGCCTCCTGCAGCGGAACCATAAGGACCGCATGGACTTCGGTAAGGCCTCCTTCCACTTGGAGCTCTGCTGCTCTCCCTGTTCTTTTGGCTCTGCTGAAGCCTCTCTGCTTTTGGCTGGTGCTAGGAGAAGCATCCAGACACCTGGATTTCACCTGTGCCTGGAGGGTTGCATGATCTTGGGGGGTTTTAGTTTATGTGCTGGAAAGTCAGTGCTGATTTCAGTACAATTTTGTAAACCAGGGAGACTTGGCACACTTTCAGCATGTGTTTGTTACTTGCATTTCCTGTCCTGGCTTCTGCTTTTATCCTCTCTCTGAGCTGTGGTTAAGTGTGCTACTAGGTAAAATGTGTCTTGTGTATCTGTGCTTTTCTGTCACAGTTTCTTCCCAGAGCTGCGAGCTGTACTCATTTACTCAACAATCCAGTCACTACCCTCTGCTTCTCAGGGTTTGCTGTGATAGTCTGAGCCAGGAGCTGCTTGCAGACCCTTCCCTCCTTCTCCAGTTTCTGTGGAAGGAAGCCTTGGTCCTTCCCAGGGCTCAAGCTCTCCAAGCCTTTATCTCAGTCTCCTGACTTGGCTGACATGAGGATTTCCCCTTTTGTCTTAATTCCTTCCAAAGTGAGATCATTCATTGTGAGCCCAGTGGTTCTGACTTGGCAGCATCTTACAGATGTGTTTTAGCTGAGCTCAAAGGTCTGAAGAACCTCCTAGGAAAGCCATGCCCTAGAGGAAAGCAGACAGAGGTGGAGCCTTTCCTTGAATGACTGAAAGGACCAGGTCATCTAAAGGCAAACACATCCTGTGAGGGTTCAGGGTGCTGCTTTGTAGTCAGACTTGGGTAAAATAGTTTGATATTTCTGGGATTTGAGGGTTGGTTTTCTGTTGGGTTTTTGTTTGCTTATCTGCTCAGGAAGGTTGTTTCCTCCTGGGCAGCACATGCTAGGTGATGAAGAGGAATTGTTTTGCACCCTTTGTTATTCTTTTGGATTAGAGATACCAGGAAAGCCTTTCTGGGGATGGTCAGCTGGATAAGCAACTGTGGATTACCTGAGGTTGATGATAGTTATCCAGTGATTAATGCCAAGGACTGGTTACTGGAGTGTAGAAATGAGAGAATGAGCTTTTGAAGAGTTGTTGAAGCTCCTGACAGACTGGCTTGGATAGAATCACCTGGCAGGGTTATTCCCCGCAGATCTTTTATCTGGGCTGTGGATCTCTACCTCTCCTCTCATGCTGCTGTGCATTTCAAAAGAAGGTGTCTTTGAGGTTCTTGATTCCCTGCTGTCAGAAATTGTCTGGCAAACCTTTTTAGCCCATATAAGCTGGTTTTGTACCTCTTGGGAGTAGAGAGCATGAGTCCATGTCTAACACTTGGAAATTTGAGGTAGTAGCTTTTGATATCACTCTGGACAGCAGTTACAGCACATCTTGCAGTATTGAGATTTTTCCTGTCCTTAATCACATATTTTTCAATAAATTGGCATGTCCCCAGAGGAGAGGGTTTCCTGCTGTTCCTTGTTCCCTGAGACCCTCAGCCTGGAGATGTCACAGTGACCTCCACAGAGCTCAGCTGAGCCACACAACAGCAACTCATCAGCTTGAAACTTCATATACTTGTTGTGTGTCCCAGCTGCTCTTCTGCCAGGAACTGATGCTCTCTGCAATCTCCAGATTATCTAAAGGAAAACCAGGAGGGTTTCAAGTTGCAAGTTTCCTGCTGATGATTACAAGCTGGGTTGTTTGAATTTTGCTTTGCAAGCACAACTAATAAGCAGTTTGGAGCAAGGAGTGGGGGAAAAGTGAAAGAAATCATCATTTCCACCCCCTCAGTTGAGTCAGCTTGGCTGAGGGATGGTACCCTCCTCTCCTGCAGCAGGCTGAAAAAGAAGCAGGAAACCCCAGCAGCTGAGCAGCTCCCACAGGATGGGGATGTTCTCCATCCACAACAGATCTAATCTGTGAGATGCCAGCTTTCCCTGCCAAAGATTTCCATTCCTTGCCTTGGGCTGAGCTCCAGACCACTGCACTCTCTGGCTGCAGGACCCTGGCACAGCAGTGGGGAGGAGAGGCTGTGGGGACAGGGATTGTTAAAGGTTAAAAAGCAGACAAACAAAAAAACCCAGTGACTGTGTTCTGGAAAGCTCAGTCCCCAAAGAGGAGCTGTTTACAGAAGAAGTTTGTAAACCTTGGGTGTTGCAACAGGAAATCCATTCTGGGAAAGAAGCTGGAGCTCAGTAATCAGCGTTGATCCATGGCTGACACTCCCAAAAGTCTGAGTTGCTGATTGTGATAGGAGAGGGCTCTGGCACAGAGCTGCAGTGAATCAGAGATGAAGGAACTGGGAGAAGTGGCTACTTGTGAGGACAGGCAAACATGCAGAGAGTGTTCAGCAAGCCAGGACAGAAGCTTTTCTTGGCCTGGATCTGTAGAATGAATTCCCATAATGAGGGGAGGAAGCAGCAGTTGTGTTTGATGTGAAAGGGAGGGAGTTCTGGACTGTGGTTCTGGGCTGGCCCATTAAAAATGCATTTCTGCCCTCAGTGCATGATGGGTTTGAGTCTCTGTCATGGAAGATCACTCGGGGAAAGTCTTTTTGTCCATCATTCCTATTCCCTGGAGTGAGTGACAGTGCAGTGTGATAAATGCAGCTCCCCTGGATCCCTATATTTAGGGTGATTCACCATCCTGATTAGCCAGGGATCCAATTAATTTCCCATCCTTATTTCATGAGCAGGTCCTGCATCCAGTCTCCAGCCTGTAGTCTTGACCACTTCTATATGCAACCACAGTCAGTCAGCTTCCATTGTTGCATGGAAAAATCACTGTATAACACTAACTTCCTGTGTTTTATCTGCTTTGTAAACTTTTTACAGGCATTTTCTTTCAATGAGTCATTGTTCTTGATTTTTTTCAGATGAATTTTTCCATCACCCATTCTTGGATGCAAGTGCCTCTATGAAAAAATGTAAGTATTGCATTTTTGATTATAACTGTTTTTGAACCATGGCCTGACTTCCTTTGCTGTTAGTTCAAAAGGAAAGAAAAATACTGCTTTGTGTTTCCTTAGTTATTTAGGCAGGGATTCAGTGTTTATTACTGTGTCATGTCCAGATTTTGCCATCAAAATGTATTTAATTTTACTGATTTTGTTCAAAGGGATGATTGGGGAATATTTAGAAACCTAAAGTGGAAGCAAATGTAGTTTTGAAATGTATTCAGCTGCTTGTGGGAAGTGCTTGTACAGGATTTTGCCTCATAGTCTTGCTTTTCATCCTCACCTGTAGCACCATTCAGGCTGGTGAATGGTGGCACTCTTGGCCCTGCTTGCCAGGCTGGCTGTGCAAAAGCCAAATTTTGTGGCTACCAGATCTTGTTTCATCATTTACATCAAAGTTCTTGATACATCTTGTTTTAGAAAGGTTATATTTATTACTCTGTGGGAGCTGGCCAAAACAAAGATTTCCATTGCAAGTTCTCTCTTCCTCCTTTTGATCCAAAACTTTGGAAAAGTTGCAGCCACACATATGGTTCAGAGGTTTGTTTTTGGTGGAAAACAATTCAGAATTGCTTCTAGTGCATGGGGCATCATAGTCCTCTGCCAAGAGACTTGGGTTAGTGGAATTGTCTGTGGTTGTCTTCTCTGGAGGGATTCTCCTGGACATTTAATCTCCTGAGTAAATACAGCACCAAGAATCTTCATCAGTGACTAATTTGGGGTGCCCAGTGCCAAGTCTTGGAGGAAACATGTCCAGCACAAACCCAGTTTCCCTCTTAGATGTGTGCCATGGGTAGACACATCTTGTCTGATATCCACATCACTCCTGAGCCTCTCTTGCTTTCCTGCTGCCAGAGCAGCCCTTCTGAGTTGTCCCTGATGAGATTTTACCTGTGCACTCAGGTGATCGTCCTGCGGGCAAGAAAAGGCGCTTCTGGTTTAGGGGAGCTTTCAAAGCAGCCAGGGCCCTAAACCCCCCTGTGCCAGCAGGGTGTGGGGCCAGCCCTGGCAAACAGGGCAGGAAAGGACTCTGGCCCTACAGGGCTGCTCCTGAGCCAGCCCAGCTCCTGGCACCTGCTGTCCTGCGTGGGAAAAGCCCTTTGGAGTCTGATCCCCCTGTGGGCAGAAGATCTCCTCCTCAGGATATTCTTGCATGCCCACCAGCTCACCTCCTACCTCCAGCCATCCCACTGCTTCACTGGCCAGGGGAGCAGAAAACCCCAGAAAAACAGGAGAGGGTTCTCCTGACTTGGCCCCGGTTTCCAGCTTGTGCACAGCTGCTCTGTAAGAACCAGAGGTGCCATTATGAGCAGGAAAATGTAGCTCAGCCTTTGCCACCTGCTGCACCAAGGTTAATGGTGTGGGGTCAAGGACCAAGAAAAAAAGCACCTTTACAGGTAGGTAAGGCCTGTGCAAACTCCAGACCTCTCTGTCACCCTGCTGATCCTCGCCTCCGGACATACATCCACAGCCTGGAGCCCTCTCCAGGCAGGAGAGACTGCTACTGGTTCTGAAGACATGGGAGAAATATCAACCCATTGCTGGAGATGTTGAAGCTGTGGTGCACAGAAATCTGCTAGTGGAGGAGAGAGTTCTGGTAGTGTGCTCTGAGGTCTCTGCCAGCCATGGATCAGAGCCCCTCTGACCTGTGCTGAAGAGCCTGGAGAAGAAAAGGCTGCCTGTGGTCATTTTGATTTCTGACAGGAAGGAAGGAGAAGAGCCAGTGTATCAGCAAAGGCTGGGTTATGGTGATCTCCATAAGAAGAACTCACCTGAGATTGATGGGATGCTGTCTGGCATGGCCGTGGGCTTGACCCTGGCACAGCTGTGGCTGAAGTGTCTTGGCAGGGCTGCAGTTCTCAGAGGGTGGCTGCCCTGAGTCTGTGTGCAAAGCTAGGAGGAGTCCAAAACCTTGCTGGGCTTCTTCATCTCAACACATGGCTCAGCATCACAAGTGAAGGAAATACCAAAGAGAAGAAGATCTGCATCTGAACCATGATGGTCGTGCTCAGACTGAATATCATGCCTGCAGTGGAGAGCTGAGCAAGGACCAGTGTCCCTTGTATTCTTGCTCTCCTTGAGAGCTGATAATTAGCTACCACTAAGTCAATCACATCTGACTTTTTTTTAATATAATGGAACTTTGGAATTCTGGAAAACTGATGAGTCCTCAAATGTAGATCATTCTGCAGGTGGATAATTTTGAAGCTGCTAAGGCAGGGGAATTCCCCCTTGTTGAAATACATATTCATGTTTTTTGAGATGCTTCAGCAAAATCAACATTTCTTTCAGGAGTCTTTCAATAAGGCATTTCTGACAAGCACCTCTTCTTCCCTGCTGTTTTGAGGGATGATTGTTTTCATGTCCCTCCTTGGAGACTGGGTTCAGGGCCCTTGGGCTTTGTTAACTAAGATGCTGTACTTTATTTTTTTGTTTGTTTATTTATAATTAATTTTATATTGTGGGGTTTGTACCTGTGACTAAGCATGTACTTTAGATGTGTAAAAATTTATTAATAAAAGTTTTAAAATGCTGTGTCTAGTCAGACTGTCGTCTGTCTGTAGCCAGCTCTGATCAGCATTTGCTATGGGGCTGTGTGTTGCAGTAATAACACATGAGAAGCCATAATTAGATGCTTGTGCAAGTCTTCTCTCAGTAAACACTTTGTAATTGGTACCCGTGCAGAATATTTTGGAGGTTTTTCTGCTCCTGCCTTTAATGAATGAGAAGCTGCTGCCTCCTTGGCTCTGAGTTTAGAGAGCATGAAAGGTGAGCGGTTATGGTTCAGAAGTGCAGGGGTGCTTCACTCCCTGAAATACCTGTCAGACTTAGCTTGACTTTTGCCATCTTTTTAATCTTATTGTACATCAAATACTCAAGTGAAAAGCAGCAAAAAATCCCCATGACTTTTGCATATAAAAGATTTTAATGCTGCAGACTTTTAAACTCTAAAAAGCAGCTTATTTGCACAAGTCCTTTCAGAGTTTGCACTCAAACTTTATTGCCTTGTCAGAGATTGCAATTAAAGAACTTTTTGATGAAGGGTTTTAATTGAATCAGATAATCAGGAAAGTGCATCTCTCCAGTGTATGTAGAACTCAGATTCCAAATAAAGCTTTTCTATAAGACTTGAGGGTTGGATATTTTTAGGACAGCTGAGCCCCTGGTAGGATGATGTGTCAGAAGTTATTTTTGCAAATATAGGATCCAGCATCAGGATTCATACAGCTGGAGCACAGGCTTGCCTTTATGGCTCCCAGCTCTCCCATTTTGAAACCAGTTGGCATTGGTTACACAATGTACATAATGTTTTGCTGCTGGAGCAAGTTGGAGAGGACAATTATGAAAACAGACTTATTTACATTACAATTACAATCCAGCAATTTCTGGATTTGGGTGGGAGCCTACAATTCATGTTAACATTCCCCACATTCAGACTCAACTGAAAACATGATGAGCCAAGTGTTTGCACCCTTTTTAATTTTGAGCTGGGAGTGCCTGGGTGTGTGGAGGAGATGGAAGCAGGCGTCTTTCTTTCAAGCTGGCCTACATGGCTGACCCCAAAAAATGCCCCAGCAGGGATGTGGAGGTCAGAGAGGGTTTGTCAGAGCCAAACTTCATGGTTCTGCATGCATCAAAGTCTGTTTGGACTGTCAAGACCTTCTGAGTTGGAGCTCACAGCATTACAGTGTGAATTTGGGAGTTCAAAAGGAATTTAAATAAGAAAAGTGATTAATAGAGGCTGTATCTAAAGGAGTGCTTCATGCAGCTGAGTTGGAGTTTCAGATAATGGCAAAGTCTGCCAGCTTGTCTTCCCTCCTGATTAATGAAAAGCTATCTGAAGCAAATAGTCAAAAATAGAAGTGTCTCAATTCTGGCCAGGTTTAAATCAATAATCACAGAACCAAAATAGGCTGGAGGGGACCTTGTGAGAGAACTGGAATGACTCTAAAAAAAATGCTAATTCCAGGAAAAATGAATGGTGATGCAAGTCTTGCATCAGGCATGTGTGGATACAGTATTCACTTATCTTTTTTTTAAAAGCACCCTTCCATAACAGGAAGGGCTGTGTGTACACGGGTGATTTGTTCTCTAGCAGCTGGCAGGATAAATGGGGGAGAGACTTTTTTCCCCTCCTTTCTAGTATTAAATCTGTAGGGAAGGTCCTGGGGATTGCTCTGCAGGCTCTGTGGGAGGACTGTGCAGATCAAAAGCAGTGTGATAGAGGCAGGACAGAGCCCTTCATTTTACAGGCAAGTGCTCAGGGCTCTGTGTGTGTTCTCTGAGGGTGGGGAGGGAAGGCAGCTGTGCTGGCTGTGGACAGAGTGGCTCTCCCTGCCAAGCCCCTGACCTCCCAGAGCACCCATCCTTGGGACACCTCCATCCCTGCTGCTGTACAGGAGCCAGGGCAGTGTGTCACAGCAGCACAGCCCACCAAGGGCATTAAATCTGGTGCAGAATAGATGCAGAAGCTAAAGAGTGTGTCCAGCCCCCTGCTGCCATCCCATTGTAGGTTTCTACTTGTTAATGTTGGCAAAGGCTGGAGATCACTGTGACCCTGCTTAAACTGTTAAAGTGGTCAGTTACTTACATTAAAATATATATTTTAAGTCTACACTGCTTTGGCTTCTCTTTCCTGCTGTTGGATCTTGTTACATCTCTCTCTGACCGAGGAATTCAGAGTCTCAGTGATTGCTCTCTTTGTGATAAAAGACTCTGGTCCAGTCATCCTTTAACCTTCTTTGATAGGCTGCATGGAAAGATTTCCTAAAGCCTTTTAATAAAAGGCATATTTTCCCATTCTTTTATCATTAGAACACTGTTTCAACAGTTAATTGCAGAGAGATAGACTTTTATTTTCTAGCTTGTTGAATAGAGTAAGTACTTTGTAGTATCTAATGGGATTAATGACAGAGGTAGTTTTACTTCAGACAGAAGCATTCCTCTTCTTGGTGTTATTAATCTCCCTTGTATTAGCTATGAAGTCATCAGCACAGCTACTGTAAAGGTAGAAATTTGATAGAAGGTGCTAATTCTCTGCCAGCTTAATGGAAGAGCAGCAAAGTGTTCCTCTCCTCAATTAAGCATTGTCTCTGATCTCTATCTTAAGTCATTCAAATACCAAAATGGTTCCAGTGTAAAATCTGACTTCAGGCTGCCTTGAAGTGGGGATTTTGGGTTCTTCTGTGCTGTTCGGTCTTGTGCATGTGAACTGGGGAATTTGAACCACTAAGCACTTCAAAGTCCTTTGAAGAGCCATTGTTACCTCTGACTGTCTCCCTGCTTGGCTGAGCTGAGCGCTTCTGTTATTTACTGAACCTCACTTGCATAAGTTATTTGAGTTAAATATTCTTTTCTCCTCTGATGCCTTAATCATCTTTTCTGCCTGAAGGTCAGTGCTAACCAGCTCTTTCAGTGTAAGCTTTAGGCCTTGTGAGGGTTACAAAGGCCAGTGCAACAAAGAAGTGAATAAAATTGGCAGTTCCTATACTGAGCAATAAAACAAAAGAGAGGGATGCGGGGATGGCCTGTGCTGTGGAAACAATTTCTGTACAAAGATACTGAATAACCAAAACATGTTTAACTTGCAGAAGTGACCAAGTTGAGCTATAGGAAGCAATGCACTGTTTCCTGGAGGGAACCCCCTGAAAGGTTTTTTGCTGGGTTTTGGGTTTTTGTTAGGAGCACGTGGCCTGGGATGCCCGAGTGGCTGTTTGGACAGCAAACACACAGGCTTTGAGCAGGCATGTGTTTAACTTGGCACTCACCTCCCAATATTTGATGTGTGTGTGCCAAGCCCTGAGGTCTCATGAGGAAGAATGTGTCAGGGTATGGTCTAGCTCCTGGCTTCTGCCCCAGTCATGAGCAGCTCTGTTCACTTTTCTCTTTCTCTTTCCCTGCATTTGCGAAGATGCTTTGGAGGCTCTTTAGGGTAAAAACTATCTTGCTGCTTGGGTAGGTCAGTGGTTGAGTGGGCATCTGATCTTGGTCAGGAGTTCTCAGCCCTGTGAGAGTGTGCCCAGAGGAGTGGATGCATGTGAATCACATAACTGAACAGAATGCTGATTTTCTTTTGTTCTCCTTTAATTGACCACATAGGATTCATGAGACACATGATGGTGCATGAGATAAATTTGATAGGAAAAGATGAAGAAGACTTTTTATTATTGCTTGATCTTGGTTTAACCACTTATTTTGGTTTTGTCTTTTGCTGGTTTTAGCTGCTTCCGTGCCAATGCCTTCTTATCCCAGTTCTGGCTCTGGTAGTTCCTCTAGCAGCTCATCCACTTCCCACCTGGCATCACCTCCTGTAAGTACAGCTCAGAGGCTGCACTGTTTGTGTTAATGGCTTTCCTGCTTGTGTGTTTGAAATGAGGTCTCTGCTTTAGTCACCAAACACTGTAGTTCTGGCTGGCTTTGGTGCAGTGTTCTCTCCAGTTTAGAGTTTTCCTGAAGGTTGGCTTACTCTGCCCAAGACATGTTTCAGTGTGCCATTGCCTGTTGGATGAGAAGCCATTATGAAAGAAGCTGGTATGAGCAGCACTAGCTTGTCTTGGCAGAGATGGAAAGCTCCTTGGAACCCAAACCAGTTGCTAATTCAGGGTGTAGCTCTGCTTCCTTGGCTGCACATTCTGTGTGTTCAAGCAGAGTCTCTGCAGCCTGACAGTGTATCCACCTCCTTCTGACCAGCATGTCCAGGCACCACAGAGGGACATTCAGCAAAGCTGTTTGCTCAGACCAGTGGTCTCATGAAAGATGATCTGAACTGATGGCTTTTCTCTCTGGTTATCCAAAGTGGTGAAAGCTTTTCTGGAGGGCAGAATATTTAAGTGACCAGTGAAGTGACATTCCTCCAGCTCGCTGAACTGAAAGGTTGTTTTTGAAGGCTCTTGGTGAAAGCTGTCTTTGACTTTGAACTCAGGAATGCTGCTGGTGTGATTGGTAAGGGAAGGGAGAAGGATGGGACTTTTTCTTCCCTGGCATGACTGGTTTTTTGCTCTGTTCTCTGAGTTTCTCTGGGCCAAAGTATCTCAGTTTGGTATGGAAAAGACTGAGGGGCACCGGCAGAAGTTGATGTAGGTGCTCATGATGTGATCTGGACAGAGAGGACAGATCTGCTCTCCTCTGAATGTTTCATGACTGTGTCCCTGAGAGCTTCCTCCCTGCAGCCTGGAGTTGAGGGTGTTGGCTGAGGCCCTCCTGGCCATGAGACTCCAGGAATGAGCAGATGGTGTGAAAAGCAGACTCACTCTCCTGAGCTTTCCTGGTCTGGGAAGCTTAGGGATGGTGCAGAATCACTGCCAGACTGGGAGGGGGGTCCATGTTAGAGGTTTACTGCACCTCTCCTGCTCTGCTGTGGAGGTTTTGCTGATGGAGGTGTGCTGGCTCAGTCTGGGAAAAATGCCACGTCTGCAGGGCAGAGTTGGCAGATTGGGTGGAAAAGAGACAACTTGGACAGCTGGAAAATTCCTTCTGCCTGTATATCCTGTGTGTGCAGAGAGAGGGAATCCCCACTGCTGCAGCAGGGGTCTGCAGGGTGAACAAGGTCTTAATGAGGCCCAAGTGAAAGCTGCTTCAAGTCTTTCTCAGCCTGGAAATGCATTAGGATAAAGATTGTGATCTGCTCTGTGGGCAGTTCAGCTGCCTTAAAGCTTTCTTAAACCATCCAGCCTCCTCCATCTGTCTGCAGTGGGAGGGGATTGTGGGGCTGTTCATCATTTAGCTGAAGGAAGCAGGAAAATGGGACTTTTTAGGGACTATCCTGCCTCTGACAGCTGTGAGCTGTTTATCTGCTGGAAGTTTAATCTCTTTTGGGCCTTTCTTTAGCTCCTTAGCAGCAGTACAGCAAAACAGGGTGGTCTTGGAAGTTCAGGAACACTTATCTCCATGTTACCAAGTGCTGCAAAAGCACAAATAGAGACCAGATGGTTCTGTGTTTAAGAACAAAACAGAAAAAACATAACCCTAAAGAACAACCAAAAGTATCTCTGAAAGCTCCTCTCATGTTCCCAGCCATACTAAAGTGAGTTGGTAGAAAATGTGTGATTGATCCAGAACACCTCAGCAGAGGGATGCAGTACCTTGAGTGAATTTTTCCTGTCTGTGGAGCATCAGACACACTGGAAGTATGTTTTGTATAACAAAAGGTGCACTGTTCTGACAGGGACATGAAAGGCTGTTCCTTTTCAGCAATCTGAACAGCTGCTTCTGGCAAACCATCAGCCCTGGTTTATCAGCAAAGTGTTGTTTGTAGCCTTGTCCAGCTCAGTTTAAGGGATGGAGCAGAATGATGAAGTAGCTGTGCTGAAGGCAGTGTTTGTTTTCTCCTTGAATTAGCAGTCCCTTGGAGAGATGCAGCAGCAGCTGCAGGAGAAGGCACTGGCATCTCCCACCCAGGACTCGCCCGGGTTCCTGCACGGATCCAAGGACTCTGCAGGGAGCAGCAGCAAGAATTCCTCCTGTGACACTGATGACTTTGTCATGGTCCCTGCACAATTCTCAAGTAAGGTGGTTTCTGAAAATGCAGATGTTCTGAGGAGAGGGGGATGTGGATGTTAAGGATAAATATTGAAAAGTTGAAGGAGTGGTTAAACTTGTCTGTTTGGACTGAATAGTAGCAGTGGTTTTGTTTTCAAGCTGGCAGAGACATCTGGCTCACTGGCTACTTTCATGGGATGTTTTGTAATTACCTTTAAAGGCAGGATTTGAGAGTAAAGATTACTTGAGGACCTCAGTAAGAGATTGAACCTGGAAATCCAACTGGAAAAGAAGATAAATAGGCTCGCAGGGAAAAGTCTCTCTCACAGAAGCTTTTACCTTGTTATCCTGTCTTCATTTTCACTCAGCATCGCAGTCCAAGACAGGATTTCAGCCAGCAAGCTGGATTTTACAAAAATCCCTGAGAAAAACTAAAATATGTTGTTTTTTCTTCAAGTGCTCTAAATTTCATTTTATGACCTTTACGTGTTTATACTTTGATAGGACTTGCTTGCAAATACAGATGTACATGGAACCAGGCCACAGTTCAGCCACATGCCTAAGTATGTCCATGCACAAATCCTTATTTAACCAGCAGGAGGACATTGTTCAACCTTGCCCATATGTGTGATGCTTTGCTGAGTTGGAACTTGGTGATAAATGCTGAGATTCCTCCTTTCACAGTTGCACCATTGTATTAAAACAGGAATTTGGAGGGGTAATCTCTGGAAGATCTTTGCAATCCTTGTATTAAGGAGGAGCTTGTGTTTTCCCTGGAATCAGTGGTGGGACCAGTACACACTTGCCTGGTGCTGGTCATGTTCCCAGTGTTCAGATGTTTGTTGTGGATCCAGCTGCCAGCTCATCTGGCTGCCCTGGATTTTTGCCAGGGAGGACAGGGATGTTCCAAAGCTCTGTGAGGATCTTGTACCACTTTTACACAGCAGCCAGTGACTTGCACCAAGTGGACATGGACCTGTTGCCTCAAATGATTGTCAAGCCCCCTTCAAGAGGACTTTCTTTCAGCCTAAACTTGCCAAAACTTCAGGGTGTAAGGATTAGCAACATCCACCATGAACTTCAGCTTCAGCCCACGTGTGGTTTGCAAAACACTGACTTCAGGAACAGCTCAGCAGGGCTTGGAGGAGCAGGAAATTCTACACAAAATCTCAATTGCTATGAATGTATAAAGGTTTTTAAGAAAATTATCTTTAATTAATCTCTTTCTGCACTTCCTTGTTCCTCAGGTGATTTAGCTGCTGAGGCTGCAGGAGGGAAACCAATCCAGGACAGTCTGATGTACAGTGGGTAAGATCACCAAGGCACCTGAAATTGTGCAGCCACTGGAGCCTGCTGGGTGTTTGGGACTGTGGGGTTCTGGTGGATGGGAGGGAAGATCTTCCTGAGTTATCAGCCTTTTTTTCAGGGATGTCTGTCACCTGCCTGGTTCTGACCATTTTCAGTTGTGGTGGGAGCAGGGTGACAGTGCCCAGAGCTCCCACTGAAGAGGTGCTGGGCAGACACAGCTCTGCTGCTGTGCTTTGTAGCAGGGAAACAGGGCTGGTTCCCAGGCTCTGACAGCTGAGTTCTTTCTGTTTTCCTCAGGAGCTCCCTGGTGACTTCAGCAGGCTTGGAAAGCCAGGGGAGGACACCATCTCCATCACCCCCATACAGCAGTTCTCCAAGCCCATCTGGGTAAGAAAAACTTTTGGTGGTGTCTGTGCAACACTGAATAATCCAACTCCCATTGACTTCCAGGGGGGATTTGACTGCTGTTGGTGTGCTGGGCAAGATCCACATCTCTCCTCTTAATTAATGGGTAACAAGAAACACCCAGGAGAAACTCCCCAGCCTTGGGCACTGATCAGTCCCAACTACTGAGCCTGTCTCTCCCTCTTCTGGCTCTCAGGAGGGGCTAGGAGAGAACACAGGAGAGCTGGAATTAACTCTGTTCCCTGAGGGGCAGGGATTGTTCTCAGCAGAAGGTAAATGTTCCCTGCTGGCATGTTCCCCCAGTGCCCAGCCCTCAGAGGTGGGGAGAATTCCACCTAAAGACCCTTGTTTCTAATTCTAATTTACTGGACAAGTGTGAGGGAGTGTTGCTCATCTCCCCTTGCTGTTGAAGGACAGATGAGGGCCTGCTTAGTTGTTTGTGGTTTGTTGAAAAGCTCCTTGTGCTATGGCTCTAGAAAGTAATACTGGACCTTACTTACTAATGGGAGATGCAGGAGTAGGAGGAGCATGTGCAAACAGGCATGGTCATGGGTTTCATTCCAACTAAAGCAGTTGCTCTAAACTCAGTTTTGGCCTTTAGAAGTGTTGTAGGTGACAGCTGCCCACAGTACCAGCTGCCCAGAGGGGCCAGACACTTTTGTGTTCTGAAGGTGTTAATGGTCTTTGGAAGGTGATCCCCTTGACTCGGGGCCCTGAAGCTTTAGAGTATGGGCTTAGCTTGCAGGGAACTGCTCGTGTTTATTCCCATCTCGTTCTTGCCTGCTGGGGAAGCAGGACAGCTTTCATCTTCTGTTCTCTCAATATGGCACCTGTCGGGGGAGGATGGTTTAAGGGGATTTCACACTGGGAGATGGATGACCCTAAAATCTTTTTTAAGAAGAAAATATAGTCCCAGGCTGTGTGTTGAACACATTTGTCATGAACAGAGCCCAGAAAATGACAAAACATAGCCTCAAAGCATACAAATTTAACAGAGAATAATATAGCTCAGAGCCTGGCTGACGTGATCAGATTAATTGGCAAGCGTGTACCACAGTGTGGAGTTTAATTGCATGAGGCTTCTTATGCCATGGCCTGCTAAGCTTTTTAACAGCTTATTCCTTAACTGATTCCTTTGCATTCTGGAGATCAGTCTCTATTAAAGGATTTGGCCTTGCTTCTGGGCAACAGTGAGGAGAAATTCAGGGAAGTTGACCACAAATGCTGCCCAATTCTCACTGTTCACCAAACTGGCCTCATCATTTTCTAGTGGATCCCATGGTGGTCAGTCAGTGCCAGAGGCTTTGATCTAAACATGTTTCCACTCTCACTGTCTTTCCTGCTCCTTCCCAGCAGCTTCTGTGGAGCAGATGCCAAACCCTCTAGTGCTACTTCCCACTTTTGTGTCTGCCTTGAAGTAACACCGAAAAGCTCATTTCTGTGCTCTTTGGGATGGGGGTAAGGCATCAGTAATGAAAGATTGGAGCAGTCACTCTGAGTCCAGAGGACAGAGCTTGCTCCTTGCTCTGTCCCCTGGAAGTGCTCAGAGCTGGTGCCACCCAGCTGTGCCCTCACTGGCTTTCAGTGCCCTTCCCTGCAGATGGCACCAGACCTGTTGGTTCAGCACTTGGCTCCACTGGTGCAGAGGGCTCCTGGTTTTCCCTCTGCCTGCTCACTTGGAAGCAGCATTCTCCCTTCCATGTGTGGCTCCAGGCTAGCAGGCAGTGCTGGCTGCACTCCAGCTGGGACAGAAAGCAAGGGCTGTGTCAGAGTGGCCAGCAGTGGGTTTTCCACAGGATGTCATGGTACACTGACAGTTCTCCTTATTCTTAATTAAGAGATTAGGAACTGGACAGAATAAAAACATGCCAATATTTGATCCTTTTTTTTTTTTTTTAATTCTTTTTTTTTAACATTTCCTTGAAGATGCTTAGTAAGTCTAATGAAAGATAATTCATTGGATGTACCCCACAGCACTAGATTTAATACTGTTTTCAAAGAGCTTTTAATTACTGCCAAGTAGTTAAACTCCCTGTCCCAGCTTTATCTCTTGGACTTTGCAGGTTTATGGTCAATTGCATTCTTTAGGGCTTGAGGCCATTTAGCAGGTTTAGTGTGTGTCACCTCATTTGGATCATTTCCTTTACAACTTGCACCATGTGAAGGAAATAAGGATTTGATAGAACTCTTGGGGAGAGGGAGAATCCTTTCACCCAAGAATTTATTTTCTGATAAAGAATTTTGATCAGATAGAAAAGATAGCATTTGAAATGTATGTTCAAAGTGAGCACAAGGTTTCACGTGAACCTTCAGATTTCTTGCTAAAGCTTTGTTTTGTTTATGTGTGTCACAATACCATGTTTTATACTCATGGAAATCAGACACATCAAAGCCTCACCTTTTTGCTGAGCTGCTGGAAAGCTTGAATGCCTTTTTTTTGGTGTGTGTCAGTGAAGAATCAAGGCATGCATGCTGCCTTTTGGAGACAAATAGGAAATTAAGAATCTCTTTTCTTGGTGGAAGAAATAAGTGCACACAAGGAAGAATATATGGAACTTAAAAAAGTTGAGAGTGAAATGAAAAGATCAGAATTATTTGATCATTCAGCCTTGATGAAAGATCTCTTCCAGTTATTTGGTTCTCCTGTGATGGAGAAGTGTCTTCACATGCACTGTGTGGAGATCTGCAGACACTTTACTGCAGATCACCTTTGTTCAGTGCTGTCACCATAAACCACAGAATGCTATGACCTTCCTCAAAACAGAAATTCTGGTAATGGTGTGCTTTGAACTACCAAATAAGTCACAAACTCTTCTTTCTTCCCCTGAATTCATGTGTGTTCTTGCTAAATTAAGTATATCCTTTCATGTCATGTAAAATATTTCCATTCCAAGTGCTAGACCCCAAGGAGTGATGCTTCCATCTTGCCAGGGGCAGACCCAGGTGTGTTCCTTGCTTGACAACAAGGGAGACTGCAGAAGCCTTCATTACCAATAGGATCTTCCTGTAATTGTTCAACATCCCTGCAATTGGTGTTGGCAGTTGTAAATAGCTTTGCCATGGCAATTAATCCGAGAATTCTGGGGCCTTTGGGAAAAGACTTTAGGCAGCTGCTTAGTTAAATGTGGTATTTGCATGGGTTTTGTACAGCATGGTTTGTGTGTAGCCTGGTGGATAGGCCAAGAGTAACCTGGGGGAACAGGTATCAGACATGAACCAATTAACCTGCTTGGATGGAAGGAGCCTGAAATTTGCAGAATGGACTTGTCCCATTTTGTGTGTGTGGTATTCTATCTTGTCCTTGATGGGTATAGAGAGATACCAGCTCCTGGTATCAGATTTATTTTTCAGATTTATTTTCTCCTGAGTTGCCTTCTCCACCCTGCAGTTAACTTGCCAATATTCTGGTCTGCAGCACTGCATTCCCTTCGTGGTGTGAGGCTCCCACGGGGATGCCGTGGCTGCAGCACTGCCTGTGCCTGAGTCAGTCACAAGCAGCTCTTGTCAGCAAAGGCTGTGCTGGTGTCCTTTGTGAGCCAGGGATGTTTAGCCCCTGCTCAGCTCTGTCTGCTTGGCTGTGGATCTGAGCTGTTGGAAACTGGGCCAGCCATGGCCTGAAATAGCAGGGCTCTGGTTTTCCTGGAGGGAGTGGTGTGCTTGGGTGAGGTTTGAACATCAGGCTGTGGGTGGGAATGGTGCTGGAGGAAAGGTGCCTGTTTTCAGGAGATGTGTGGTGCCATTTCCCTTTGATATGACTTTGAACCACCTCCTGCTGCAAACCCACAGCCCCAGAGCAGCCCAGGGGACGCTCCCTGCGTGCAGTTGCTTCATGAAGATAAAATCTCCAATTAGCTGGTGGAAGAAGGCCCAGCCCTTACAGGAGGTTGTCTCTGTGTGTCTCCTTCCCACAGGCGGCCAGGGCAGTTTTCCAGCAGCAAGTACGGCCACTCCGTGCCCATCCCAGTCCCCACACAGATCCACAACTACCGGCGGATCGAGCAGAACCTGCAGTCTCCCAATCCTTACTCCTCTCCCCGGTAAGTGCTGGGGCTGGGACCAGGGGCTCTGGAAACAAACTGCTTTGCACTGTGCTTTCTGTACCTCTGTAAATTTACCTGTGGGTTGGGCTCTCCCCCTCACAGAATCACAGAATAATGAGGTTGGAAGAGACCTCTAAGATCATCACATCCAACCTATGCCCTAACACCTCAACTGTAGCACCAAGTGCCATGTCCAGTCTTTTTTTAGTGGTGATTCTACCACCTCCCTGGGAAGAGCATTCCAGTACTTTATTATTCTTTAGCTGAAAAATTTCTTCCTAATATCCAACCTGTACCTTCCCTGATGTAGCTTGAGACTGTGTCCTCTGGTTTTGTCAGAGACCGACCCCAGCTGTTTGCAGCCTCCCTTCAGGAAGGTGTAGAGTCACCTCTAAGCCACCTCTTCTCCAGGCTAAACAGCCTCAGCTCCTTCAAATGTTCCTCACTGTAGGGGTGTGTTTTGGGGTGGTTTTGGGATGTTTTTGGGGTGTTTTTTTTGTGGTGTTGAGATTTATTTGTTAGCACTGTCAATTTTGCCTGTGTGCTTTTATGTGAGAAAGCTCCTGTCAGCTCAGAGTGAAGGCTGAGCCCCCTTGAGTCTGACAGCTTTTCCCATGCCAGCTATGGACTGGGCATCCAAATGTCCAGGCAGAGAGAACCATCCATCTGGCAGATGCCTTTATAAAAGGAAAATTTGAGATAAACAACTGAAATGGATGGGGCTACAGAACCTACCTGACTTTACCTTAATTGGTTCCTGTAGCCAGTCATGCCATAGATGATGTGTTGTGCACGAGTTGCATTTTAATGTGGTTATGCAGCCAGGACTGAGTAAATCATGAGCAATTTAAGCCTGTGAGGCAGAGCATGTTTTCTTAAGGCTGTCAGGAAGACCCTGATGCCAAGTCTGCAGCAGACAGCTGACCTGAGTGCAGAGGTAATGCCTGGTACATCCAAGACATGCAGGGCTTCTTTCTCTTCTCACATGTGATTGTTGGCTGGCAGCAGCAGCCCAGGTCATGGACTGGTGGGAAAGAGAGCAACACAGGATCTTAAGGAGCTTGTGCAACAGGGGCACTCAAATAGAAGTGTCTAGGAGGTGTCATGTCCTCTCTAGGATGAGTTGTGTTGGTGTCTGGATTAGTTAAAGTTTAGATTTCGAAAGTAGGGTAATACCTACATCAGCCTAAGTTTGGGCTTCAGCCAGCCTAATTCAGGATGAGGCTTATTTGAAGTGGACCCAGAAGCAGAGACACAATATGCTGATACTGATCAAGGATAGGGATTAGCAGAAGGCTTGGTCTGTGCCACTGTAACTTTAATACTGCTTTATGTTAAGTTTTTTAAGTGTGTGGCAGGTTTTGTGGTACTGTTTCCTACATGCCTTATGTTTTTGACAGCAAAACTTGTGGATGCTGTTGGGTTTGGACCTTACAAGAGTCCTGGTTATCCCTGTGAGGTATAAAGAGAGAGCTCTGTGCTGTGCCAACCCAGAGCTGCTGAGCTGAGCCTCACAGCCCACAGCTGCAGCCAGGGAGCAAACTGCCATGTTTTGCTCCTTTTAGTCAGCTCTGTGTAATGCTGAGGGTGGCATGTCCCTGCACAGGAACTCGAGGAATGGGCCCCATCAGGGTGACTCACAGGCTGCTTTTAGCATCTTCTCAGCATCTCTGGCGTCATGTTTTTCTGCCCCAGGAAGCCATACTTATCTCTGGCCATCACTTCCTCTAATCAGCAGGTTCAGGAGACACCCTTCAGGAATGGCAGGAGAAAACTCCACCAGGCATTTTGTGATTCCACTTTTCCATCAGGTGGATCAAACAGGCCATTGGTGCCGAGTGCTGAGTCGTGTTTGCTGAGTCATTTGATGGCAAAGCTTGACGTGCACTCTGGTGGCTGAGAAATGTCCCCCTGTCACCTGGCTGGCTGCTGTGTGCCCGTGTGACTGCTGTGGTTGTGCACAGATGGGTGGCTTGCTGAGGTGCTAGTTAGGTGTGTGTGCCTCTGGCCACATCACCTGTCCTGCTCCTCTGCTGGCTTACCTGGCTCTCACAGGGTGGCATTTGACATTCCACATCTTCCAGCAGCAGCAGTCATCTGGTGGTTTTCTTCTGCAAGCTCCTGATAGATGAAATTCAGCTTTCTGCATGGCTCATGGTCTGGAGAATTAAAAACATGGCAGGGCAATGCTTTCTGCCACTGAATATCTAGGTGTCTTCTCACCTTTCTCTTTGGAAATTCATTTTGCTTCAGGGCCAGGCGCTTGATGAACATTGGCCTCTGAATCTGGAGCAACCTGAAGAGAAGTGATTTTTAGGTTAAAATTTTCAAGTATTTCCTTTTTTCCAAGCATGTGATTATAGCATGGATTTACTTGGGTGCAGAATGGGGTAACACATTGAATAGGGGCAGGGGGGTTGGCAGATCAACTACTCAGCTATCTCAACTACTTAAACAGATTTATTTTTTAAGTGTATTTATTTTCTGAAATGTGGCATAAAGTGAAATATACACCCAGAAGTGTTGTTGAGTAGATTAACTTGACAGTTCATCAGGATGATTCTGCCAGTCCTGGCACTGCTGAAACCCACATCCTTTGTTCCTTCTGTTCAGATACATGAGGGCAGTTAAATGCAGCATCCCTGGCAGAGGAGGCAGGGTACCTTAGTGACAGCATCTTTCAGTGGCTCAAGCAAGGAGGGGTTTTTTTCAGCAGTCATTGATTCCTGTCCAGAAAACCACCTACTGGTTGAGACTAATGTTCTTGTAACAAAAGAAAACATGTTTCAAAATTGAGAATAGAATTAAGGGCTTGATGAAAAGATTGTGTTCTCATATAGAGGAGTGTAGTGGGAATCTTGGTGAAGGAGCCTGCAGAGGCAGAATGGCATTGCAATTTAGGTTGTGTGTTCTTAGTAATGGTGGAAAGATTAACATATTGAGAAATAATTAATTGATATGCAGTAATCCTGTCTCTCTCCAGGCTGATTGTTGTGGATGTACTCACTTTCCCACTAGTTTCCTCTTCTGTTTCATTTTAGCACTGGCTAATACTCAAGGTTCCTGCATGTGTGGGCTTTACAAATTAATTTTAACTCCCTAAGTTGAGCCTTTACAAGGAGTTGAAGGTGTTTAGACAGGCAATTCTAACTGTCCAGCCCAAAACCCCAAATTCCTCGGGTAGCTGTGAAGTGTTTCAGATCTGACAGCCACACACTGTTGTGTTTTGCTCTGTAGCTCCTGACTGGAGTCCAAGCTCTGCTGCAGAGCAGTGCCTTGGCACCCTTTACCTCACATTGAGCACAGAGCTTTCTGCCTAAAGGCTGCTCTGACTGAAGGGCAAGTGGCTCAGCACAGGAGGCACTTGAATAAAGCCCTCTCAGGGCATTCTGGAGACACTGCCTACAACCAACATCTTGGACATGGCAAGATAGGAAACTGGCTTGTTCAGGATTGATGTAGATACCTGCAAGCATCTGAAATATCTCTGAAAAATTACTGTCCTGTTTACAGCTAAGCTAACCTGGATTGTTCTTTTCATTTATTTGAATTGAAACTCTTTTGAACGAGGATTATCACCTTAATCTGTTTTGGTGTAGTCCTAGAACAGTGGAATTTTGATCCAGGATAAAGAGTCATGAAGCTCTGCTTTTGTGGGAGTGACTGTGTGTGTTGTGTGATGCTGTTCTCCTTCCTCTGGAGTGACCCCTGTGCTGCTCTTGTTTCCCCTAAGGTCTGGCACGGTCCGGAGGTCCAGCAGTACAAGTCCCCTTGGTTTTCCCAAGACTGGTGCTTCCCCTCCTTATCCTGGAGAGCATGGATCCATGCCCAGCACTAAGAAGCTCTCCTTTGGTGGTGCCAAGCCGTTTATGCCATCACCACAAGGTAAGATGGCAGCTGGCACGTTGCTGTCCTAATAAAATCATTTGCCTCTTTCCTGTAAAGAGGGGGGTTTTCACCACCTGTAGCTGCCAGGTAGTGGAGAGTTCAGATTGTTGTGTTCCCCTGTGGTTCTTCTCCACACACAAGTGTTCTGACCTCAGTAAAATGGAGAGAAAAATACCTGTTAGCCCCAGGAGAGGCAAGCTTTGCTTTGGTGCCTGCATCAAACATTTTGCTGCCCTCAGAAGAGGGCATCTGTAAGTGCAAAGTATGTTTTTCCTGGCTTGGGTTGGGGTGAGAATAAATATAAGCCAATTATTGTCAAAGCAAACTTCTGACCAGCATGGAAAGGGCTTGAACTTCCAGACTGAAAAGTTTTGGCTGAATATCTGTTAGCCTGATCTAGATGCTAACAGGCAATTCCAGTGGAAAGGGACAAGAGAAACCCCAATGTGCAATGGATGCAATTTTCTGTTTTCTGTAAAAGAACAGGTTGATATAATGAGCTGTTCTATATCTGGTGTCTTTGATCCTGTATTTATTAGTCTTTGCTTATGGGGAAATACAGAATATTCATATTCTATTCCTCTGAACTGCAAAGTCAGACTAAAACTTGCTAAACTAATACCAGGCAGAGTTTTTTTACCTCCTTTTACAGGAGTTGATGATCTTTTCACCACACAGCTAGGGCTCAGAAGATGGAAGAGATAACTGGCATCTTTCTATAAACAGGTGGTGCATAGTGCTGTTCTTGCCTATAAAAACTTAATACTGAATTAACTTCTTTTTCATTTAATTCACCCACAGTTGGAACAATCCCAGAGCAGCCCAGCCAGACTGTTATCCCATCTTCCCTTGGAGCTGAAGTGAGAAGCCGAGTTCCTGCTGCCGGTGCGTCGGTCCTTGCCTTCCTTCATTATTCCCATGGATAAAGCCAGAACTGTATCTCAGGGCATTCTAGGGTTGTATTGGGTGCTTCAGCAGCTTCTCTGGATGTTTGGCCAGCCAGGTCTCTGTGTGCTGGTGGGAGTTGGGGTTGTTCTATTCACATCCTGTCAGCCAGCATCTTCCAGTGCTGACAGGCCCAGTGTTGCAAAAACTCAAATTTGGGACTTGGAAGCCAATGGATTGAGTGGAGGAAAAACATCTCAAAACCTCTAACACCTCCTCTGCCAAGAGGCCTGCTTGGTTGTAGTTTCCTTGCTGCTGAGCTCTGACAGTCAGGGTTTGTGTCTCTGAATGGGTGGCAATGAAGGAAAGAAGCTGCACTTTCATTTCCCTGTTGTTCATATCTCATCCTCCCACAGACTCAAAAATGACCAGGCCTGGCAGTGCTGTGGCTCTGCTCAGTACCATGCTTAGCCATAGAAGGTTTTGATCTGCCGCTGTTTGAGCTGTAGATCCTGGGACCAGGCAGTGATGTGGTTTGTCACTCTGTGCCCTCCAGGTTCCTTGGCACCTGAACAGTCTCCTCGAGGGATGGGCTCCCGGCTCCACAGCGCTCCCAACCTGTCAGATTTGCATTCCTGCAGGCAGAAGATAACCAAGCAGCACTCTGACCCTCTTGTTGCTCACTTTGGTCACACCCCAGTCAGCCAGCCTCTGCAGATCCATGGCTTGCAGCACTGCCGGCAGCTCCGATCCTCACCCAAGCTCTCCGAGTTCATGCAGAGGAGCCCTTTGCCAACAATCATGGGCTCCCCTACAAAGGTGTGCCCAGGAGTCTGCTTCTGAGCCTCTCACAGCCTGATCTTCTGGGTGATCTGGGGATGAGCTGCTGCAGGAGCAGATAACTCTGACCTGGATTTATCAGCACTTGTGAGGGCTGTGCCGTGATCAGTGTGAAATGGGGTGGTGTCCTACTTCCCTTGGGCAGCAGCACTCAGCAGAGCCTGGGCTTGGGAGCAGGCAGGGGAAGGAGCTGCCCCAATGGCCAGAGTGACTGGCTGGCGGGGACACGGTGACCCAGCTGTGACACAAGTGTGTGTCCAGCAGGAATCCCCAGCAGTGACAGCCCTGTGCCTCCTGGGGAGCAGGCACTGTGACAGCATTTCCTCTGCTTGCAGAATTCTCAGCAGTTTGTTGTCCTTTCGTTTTAGCCTTTCTGGGATTAGAGACAAGTAATTGTTCAGGGTGGGATATCTATCCTTGTTTCAGGCAGGTTGTTAAAGTTTAATTTTGATAAACAAATGGGTACCAAGAGGAACCTTCCTCCTTCATTTTACATACAAATCTCTGTTCTTTTTATTCTTCTTAGGCTGTGTCCCCATTTGAGTTTCCCAAAACCCCAAGTTCCCAGAATCTCCTCACCCTGTTGGCCCATCAGGGGGTCATGATGACTCCGACACGGAACAAGACCTTGCCAGATCTGAAAGAGATGGGTCATTTCCACTGCCAGCAAACTGGGCTGGGATTGAGGCCTGTGGAGGAGATCAAGGGCAGGTGAGCTGCAGTCTGCTTCATACAGTGGTGCTTCACTCCTCAGTACACGACAATGGGGAAAATTTCAAACCCCAGCTGATGCTGCAGTTGTAGTGAGGCATCTGTAAACATTGTGTAGTTACCTGCTAGCCCCTTTGGACTGCAAACAGCTATGGTGCAGATTTTAAGTCTTCCTCTAAAGGGACAGGCCATGGCCTGTTTTTTTTTTTAAATTAAAGATTGTCTGCAGCTTCACACCATGTTTAGTGTGCAGAGTTTCAGCAAGTGAGGATGCAGGACTTTGTTACCACGCAAGCAATTGCTCTCTGTGGGGCCTGTCATGGAGGAGCAGCTGTTCTGGATGTTCCTCCTCCATCAAACAGTGGCACAGATCTTCAGATCTGTTGGAAAGCCCTGTGCTGGCTGTCATGAGCACTGCAGGATAGAAGGTCACTCAGGTGCTGCTGTGAAGTTTTTCTTACATCCCTCTCTGCACACTGCAGCTTTCCCCAGTGTTCTGGAAGAGTCCTCTGATAGTAATTTTCATTCTTTTCAACAAAAACAAATTGTGTTGTATTAACATAGTAAGGACTTGCATTACTCCGCTTAGTCATGATAGTTTTGTGCTTTCTACAAGTAGCAAGAGGTGCTTCAGAGGCTCTGTTGAAAGAGTGCTTTTTTCAGCTCCAGACTGTTTACTGTGTACTGGTAAGTGGCTGTGGAGCAGGAATAGCACAAAGAAGTGAAGTTAGCTGACACCTTGCACCTGTTGACTTCCAGCATCACGTTGTATGTACTCTTTTTAGATCTCTGAGCACGGGCAGGCTCACTGACCTGCTCCTCAAGGCAGCCTTTGGGGCACAGATCTCAGAAGCTGGCAGCAGCGACAGCCTGAACAATGAGAAGCCAATGGAAATTGCAGGTAGGTGGGGAGGCCAGGCAGACCTGGCAGGATGTCCTGGGGCTGGGGTTTGCCTGCACCCCTCCTGCTTTGGGAGGCTGCTCTGCCGGTGGCTCTTGGCTCAGGAAGCGCCGTGTGCGAGGGCTGCAGTGGTGTTTGCTTTGCCCTGCTCTGTGGGCTGTGTGTGCCGTGTAACTGCTGGGTACTGGTGTGATTTTTGTAGGCAGGGCTTCCTCTTCTGGCCCCTCGTGAGTGTGATAACCTGTGGCAGTGGTGGCTTGGTGCCCGGCGGCTCGGGTGTGAATGGCTCTGCAGGGGTGGGCGTTCTGGGCGTGCAGGCAGGCAGCGAGGAGGGAGAGCAGCTGCAGCAGTGGCTGGCACTGCCCAGGCTCTGTCCTGGGGCCCGTGCTGGTACCGCTGTGTGCCAGGAGAGTCTGCAGGAACACGCCCGCTGGGCGGGGCACCGTGCTCTGAGTGACCTTCCTGTAATGCCGGTCTGCACCTTTCAACTGTCTCCCCAGCTCCCTCAGGTGCTTACGGAGGGACCCTGCACTCTGGTGCCCGGGCTGGGGGCTCTGCCAGCCCATCCCCAGTGATTTTTACTGTCGGATCCCCTCCCAGTGGAACAACCCCCCCACAGACCACGAGGACCAGGATGTTTTCAGGTAAAGGGCCGATACCTACCTGCCTGTTCCAGTGGGAATGCCCGGGGGCAGAGAGATGTGCTGTGCTCCTTGCTGCAGGGCACTGGTGATGGCAGAAGGCTGCTCAGAGCCATCTGTAAGAGCTCAGCTGGTCCCAGCACCTTTGAGGTTCTAGTGCTGGCTCCTGCCAACCCCAGTTGTTGCTGCTGTTTGCACTGGCATTAGTGCCAGAGAGTGGTTTTCCAGTACTGTAAGAGACAGGCAGACTTTTACTTTATTGCTCTCTGCTTCAGGAATAGTGCTGCAGCTGTTCACAGAACCACTGTTGCTGAGAGGTCAACAAATGTAAAGATTGTGTTGTGTTCTGATTGTTCTCCCTGTGGGTTTTGGATGAGCTGTAAAAGATGAGTGTGACTACCTGTGCCCAACAATTTCAGTGCACAAGGACTGTTGGGAAGGGGCCAGGAGGGCTCTCTGTGCAAATCTATTTGAGGTGTTACTTTTGCTCTGAGCTGCTTATGTAGGCGATGGGGAGATGCTCTCCTGCTTGGCAGATACTCCTTGGAAGGCACCAGTGCTCTGGCCTCATCAGCCAGCAGCTGAGGCTGTGGGGATTGGCCCTTTTGGGATAGAGTGTCTGGGAGCTGGAGTCTCTGTTCAGTTTAAGAAAATGTTTGGATACATTTTGATTTGCATATTTGGCTTGTTTGGTTTTTTGTCTTGGCTGTTCCTCATCTGAATGTACTTGACTCTGTTGTCCTCAATTACTGCAGGGAAGGTTTGGATGTGACCATGAATAGACTGCTTGACTGGGATGGGGTACATGTGGGCTTGGTTCCTGTGTATAGCTTGCATTTCCATCCTAACTAAAACCACTCTTGCCTTTGATTGCCTGGCAGATCGGAACCACAATTCTTTCTTTGTCTCATTTATTTGGAGAGTGAGCTTTAAGACTCCTAAAAACTGTGTGAGGGGCCTGTAGCACAGAGGGGTTACTGTCCTGGCTGCAGCCTCCAGCTTCTATTGCAATGTGTTGGATAGAGGATTCAGACCTCCTGTGTTGCTTTTCAGGGATAATAGCAATCTGGAAGCAGATCCAAGCACCAGATTTTAGCAGGTTGATCCTCAGGTGCTCAAGGGTCTGCCCCACAGTCAGGATGTCACATGGGAGGCCTGGAATAGGAGGCTGTTGAAAGTGAACCTGCAGCACACACACAGTGTTAGGTCAGGGTGACCAAAGCAATGCTGCAGGACAAGCTTTGTTTATTGGCCCTGTGCAGGAACTCCTCATGTTATAGTTAATGCACAAAGTTAATGGTGGAAAGGGGAGACTTGAAAGCTGAAACTTTTCACCCCAAGTGCTTGCACAAGCCATGAGTAAGGACAGTACTAAAGGAGAGCCTTTCTGTGAATCATCCCAACAATTTCTGCAAACAGGCTCTTGGAATTACAGGGCACCCAGAATGGGATGTTGTAGGTCCTCTCCTCTCCTGTCTCTGAGAGAACTGGAAATACTCTGCCTGTCTTTGATGATCCTCTTGGCTTTGAAGCATTGCTGCAAACATGGAAAGAGCTTTTGAGAGGAAAAGAGGCTGTGCCTGTCTGCAGATCAGTTGTGCATTATTATATTGCTGAACCCTTAGAAGGCAGGGTAGGGCAGTAAATTAAACCTGTGGTTAGAAGAGAAACATCTTCCTCCAAAGGACCAGTGAGAGTGGAGAATACCACCTGGGTAGAGTTAGCAGGATGTTGGAGCTGGTATTGGCATCCCCCATCAGACAGAATGTTTCCCTCTGTGGCAGTGTGCCAGGGGTGGGAAAGCCTCTGGAAGTGGTGAATGCATTGTGAGACAAAATCTCCTTTGTGCTCCTAGGGTGGATTCAGTGGTCCAGAAGGGGAAAAGCTGATGCTGAGGGAATTGTTTGATGGACACCATACCTACAGGGTCTCCAGAACCATGGGGTTAGGGTCTTGACTCAGCTGGTCACTCATTCTCTGCCCAGCCTCTTATTTATAAAGAAGGGAAAGCAAAAGTGCAGGGCATTTAATGGAAAACTCTCCTGGCTTGCATACAGGATGTTCTAGAGCCATCACTTATCAGAGTGCTCATTCAGTGACAGTAACAGCAAAAAGGCAGGGAGCCAGGGTTCCAACTGTGCTGCTCCATGGTGGGGAAGTTGGCTATGACAGTGTATGATAAAGATCAGCCCAAGATATTGTGGTAGGATTCAAAAAGGGTTTAGCCAAAAAAAGGGTAAAGAATTTCTTCTAAATTGTCTCTGTACATGATCATCATTCTTAAATCTGCCTGAGCTTGTCAGCTGGTCTGAGTCACTGAGGAGCTTATGCTGGGGAGTGGTTGTTCTGCATCCAGAGTCCTTGCATCTTCCTCTCAAGTACCTCTTGCTGGCTCCTGTCAGATCCAGGATCCTGAATCCTACAGAACTCTCTCTTCTGCATGAGGAATGTTACCTGACCTGCTCTTAATACCTCCAGTTAATTCCTTTGTCTGTTTTTCTTCACAGTGGGGTCTTCCAGCTCTCTCAGTTCTGGAGGCTCCTTCAGTGGGAGGCACTTGGCAGTGGGAGCTGCTGGGGAGGCCCTGGAGGGCCCCTCGAGTCTCCGGTACACTTTTGCTGATCCCATCACTGCCAACCTGGAAGGTGCTGTTACATTTGAGGCACCAGAGCTGCCTGAAGAGACCCTCATGGAGGTGGGTATGGTATATCCTGGGGGAAAAGGACAGGGGAATAAAAGTAAAACTTTTATTAAATCCATGCTTTGCTTCCAAAGGTGGAGCAAACAGTACAGCAAGTTCCAAGAGAGCAAGGCCAGTGAAGTGTTTAGAAAGCCCAGGGTATATTTAGCACCAAGCCCTTTATTCCATGTAACAGCCCATGACTGGGGTTAAAATTCCCCATCCCCAAAGCTGAAATGGCAGCTTGGAAGATCAGTTATCCAATGCATTCTGTATTAAGGGCCTCTGAAGCCAACCTGCCTGCTCTGGGGCTCTCCTTTTTTCAAAGGCTCAGCATTAGTACTGGCTGACTGAGAACATGAGTAGCTCAGTGTGTCAGGTGCCTGCCTGGTGCACCTGGGGAGTCAGCAGTGATATGGTCTCTGCTGAAAGGATCTGCAAACAAAGTAAACCTGACACTTCTGTTCCTGCAGGGAGGGCGGGGGGGACGCTGTGTTCTGCACCAGAAGAGCTGAACCAGATTGTGGAGCTGAAAGGCTGCCAGGCTCCCCTTCCCTGCAGGCTGAGGCAGAGCAAATGCTGTTATAGCTGAGATATATTTGAAATGTAGGTCAGGCTGCCCATTTGCAGTGGAGGTTGGGAGGCAGATTCAGTCACGCTTTTGGCTCTGCTTGGGATACCTCCTTGGGCTGTCTGGGACTGGAGAAGGCTCTCTTGGTGTCTGACACTTGCTGGTGTTGCTGAAAACCCCAAGATACCAAGAGAGATATGCACACATTGTTTTAAGGATGTGGGTTTGCTCTTCTACTTGAGATTTTGTTGAGCTCATTTTTTCTGTCAGTTCTGCATTGGATTGCATTTGTTGGCTTCATTACCTGTGAAGCCACAGGGCAAAGGCTTCCAGCAATGTTGTGATCACAATAGCAGTCAGTTTAACTGAGCATCCTACCTGGCTGAGGTGACAGAACTTTGGGTCCTTGCCAGCTGCCACCACTTCAGATGCTGGTCTGAAGAGAAGTGTCCTAAGGAAGAATCAGTTGATCTTGGAATAGCACTCAGCTTCTCTGGCTGTAATGACTCATTTGGCTTCAGTTGTTGTTTCTGCTGAGCACAGTAATCTGTTTGCATGTCACAAAACCTTTACAGCAGATTTCAAGACCCTTTTGTGCTCTGTGGAGTTGGCCAGAATGCAAACCTGGCAGGTTTTCTGCTTTCTGCTCATCTTTCAGGGCACTGAAGTCTCACTGTTTAGGTGCCCTTGTTTATCTTGAGCAGCACTGTTGCATTTGGATGGGTGGTTCTTCTGTCTTGTGTGAAAGTTTCTTTAGGTGTAGACAAGGCATACTGGAGGCTGGGGTTTAGTTTCTTCTACAGTGCTCTGAAAGCACAATACAGAGATGGCTAAAGAAAACTTGTGATTGCAAATGAGGCCATAAATGCCAGCACAGTTAACAGAAGCTGACTGTAGGCAGAGGAAGGACTGCCTGTGGTTTAGAGATAAAGAGTCTGAGACCTGCAAGATCTCAGCAGTTTCCTGCTCTGCCACAAACTTCTTGTATGACTTGGTAATTACTTAATCTCCAAGTTCCTCCTCTGCTTTTAAAGAAAATTGAGGAAGATGGAGATAACACTTCCTCACCATACTGGACTGTCCAGGTAGCAAGGTGGTGGGAGGGAGAGATTCATGTTCCACATAGTCAAAACTGCCTGAGCAGCCCAGTGCCTGAGCCAGTGAAGGAAAGAAAGCAGCTCTCAGATCTTGAGCATGGGGGTTTCCTGGTAAATTCATGTGGGAAACATCCTTACCCCCTTTGAGAGAACTGAGCCAGTGACTCTTTGAAGACCAGGTTACCCACTTCTCAACAGAGAGTAAACAATGAAGTTGGCATCTGACCCAGGCAGCAATTCACTTTGCAGACCCACAGGCATTCAGTTTTTCCACAAATACTAACTTCCCAGAACTGGTTGCAGTGACTTAAGCAATGCAGCTTCCCAGAAATGGGATAATCCCCTTTGATCTGTAATAGCAGAGGAAAAACTGCTCTGAAATGACCACAGCACTTGGTGTGAGCACTTCCCTCACCAGCTGGGCAGGAGTTGCAGATAGAAGGTTGTCCTTTCTGTCTCCTCAAAGAACCTCACCCAAGGCTCACTGCATTGAGCTGTGAGGGGATGAAGGCTGGGATGTAGGGTGGGAGACACTTCATTGGCAGTGTTTTGTGGTGTAGGAGGTTTTCACTCTCATGAAATCCACATTGGCATTGCTGTAGTGGGAACAGGAGCTGGGCTTTTGGTGCAGATGGTCTCTCCCCCTTCCTGGCTGACTTCTGAAAGAATCCCACAGAGCTGGGATACTCCTTGGGAAGGGAGCTTGTAATTTTAGAGTAAGCCTCACCAGCTTCTCCAGGGAGCTGTGTAGAAGTTTCTAGCCTGGGACTGTTGTTTGCTGCTGTTACTGTGCAAGAGGAACCGGTGCAGGCTCCAGGCTGAGCGTGGCCCAAAGCAGAGGTGCAAGGGGGTCTGGGGGTGAGCTGTTGTTCCTGTAGCTGGGGTGGGTGGCTGGCCCAGCTCAGGGGAGCAGCTTTGCCTGTAACCCCCCTGGCATCCCTCCAACAGCAGGAGCACACGGACATCCTGCGCAGCCTGCGCTTCACGCTGGCCTTCGTGCACTACGTGATGGAGATCGCTGCTCTCAAGGGCAGCTCCAGTGACATGGGCAGCTCGGTGACATCTGAGTACCAGCTCCAGGAGAGCGTGGTGGCCGACCAGATCAGCCTCCTGAGCCGGGAGTGGAGGTAAGGACTGGCAGAGCTGCTCCTCTCCCAGGGCTTGTCACTGCCTCCCACCCCACACATCCTCCTGTACCCACAGTCCTTGGGGACACGGAGCTGCTGTCACACTGCTCTGTCTGCTTGCTTTGCAGCTATGCAGAGCAGCTCGTACTGTACCTGAAAGTGGCTGAACTTCTGTCCTCGGGGCTGCAGATGGCCATAGAGCAGATCAAAGCTGGCAAGCTGTGCCTCTCCTCCACTGTCAAGCAAGGTAAGGGGCTGCTGCACTCATGGGGCAAAGGGCTCATCTGGAATAGAGCTATTAAAAGTGTCACAGAAGGTATGGAGGGGGTGGAGTGAGTGTGAACCCCACCAGGGTGGAGGGAGCTCATTTGTGATCATCCCCTTGTGCAGCTGGATCTTTATTCACATGAGTACATTCCTCTTTTCACACTGACCTTATGGCTCAGAGCTATTGTCATGCTCCTGTGAGACTCTTCAGCACTAATTGTAAGAGGGGATGGATCTTATCTGATTCTTTGTATATCTCTGTCTTAGGTGCTAATGTGTACTTGATGTAAGCCCAGCTTAATTACACAGTACATGTCCTAGGAAGTGCTTACTCAGCAAATACAGACTTGTCCTGGCAGTGATGATTTTTCAAGTGAAACAAAAACACAGGAAGTGAAGTACTGGTAATGCCAGTGGTTTTTGCTGGTGTTACAGCTTTACATTTGCATCTGACTGGCTGTGGTGAGAGCTGGCTGTGAGTCAATGATTAGAAAAAAATAATTTTTGAACTCCCATTGTAATATTACTGAGGGAGCTTTTGGAAGTACTTGAAATACTTGACCCACCAGCCACCTACCCCAAGAGCTTTGTCTTTGCAAAGTGCTGCCTTGGGATGGGGTGTAAAAAAATGGAAGTTAAATATGAATTGCACACATCTGTTGTAGCAGGCAGTGTGGAGCAAAATACACCAGATTTAGCTACACATCTTCCACAAGTTCAGGCTAACAGGAAAGTTGTCATAACCCAAATAAATCACTTCTTTTCAGAACAGATTGCAGCTTCTAGATTTGTAGTGTTGTTTCTCCTTCAGTGTGTGGGAATTGGGCAAGGCTGGCTTGTCTTTGTTTCATGCAGCATGGGGATTTTCAAATGTGTGTGTAGGAGTTAGTACTCATCAGATGTTGGTGGGAGTTTGTGTTCAGTACTCTGTGTAGATCATGCCATGTAGCTAGGGAGACTCAGCCTGTGGCATCCCTTGCAGTTGTGGATTGTTATTTAATCCCTCAGAGTCATATCTGATTCCTGATTCCCTGTTCTGTAACCTGTGCTTCAGGAGAGGAGGTGGCCTTTCACAGCCACCTGTGTCCTTCCTTAGTGGGACAGGGGAGATTCCCTTGCTTAGTCAGTGCTGCTGATCCACCCTCCAGGAGCTCCCACGTGTGAGCCATGCAGCCCTGCACAGCACCCATGGAGCAGCAGAAGCTCTGACTCTGCTGCTGGTGTGTGACACATCCTGTGCAGAGCAAACTGCTCCTGCCTTGTGACTGCTGGGGGAAACAAAAATACACCCGGCCTCAGGTGAACCACACTTGTGTAGGAGTTGCCATGTGCAGGCTTATAACTGGTGAAGGTGACAGAGGAAAGGGAAAAGACCTTTTTGGTGCAGGGCTTTCCTGCCAGTCTCTTGGCTTTAACAGAACCCTCTTGTCTGCAGGTTAATCCTTTGGGGTCCTGCACATGGAAATTAGGAGACACGGGGAGAATTGTGAGTAAAAACCATTTTTTTTCTGAAGTATTTCTTTCTTTTACTGTAGTTGTGAAGAAGCTGAATGAGCTTTACAAATCCAGTGTATCCTCCTGCCACTGCCTCAACATGAGACTGCAGAGGTTCTTCTTGGACAAGCAGAAGCTCATGGATCGGATCAATAGCATCACTGCAGAGAAGCTCATCTTCAGCTACGCTGTGCAAATGGTAAAAACCCACAGTGCCTGGGACTGGGGTTAGCACAGGGCAGTGTTGGGCATTTGTGGTTCCTGCTGGTGCCCTTAGCAGCTGGTTCCCCTCATGATGCTCCATCTGGAGGCTGAGCAGGAGGGGTGTCCATGCAGCTGAGGGACTGAGCTGGGAAAGCTGAGTCTGCTCTGGGAGTAAGCTCTTGGCACTGGGTTGTTGCTCTCAGGTGCAGTCTGCAGCCCTGGATGAGATGTTCCACCACAGAGAGGACTGTGCACAGAGGTACCACAAGGCTCTGCTGCTAATGGAGGGGCTCCTGAACATCATCACTGAACAGGGAGACATAGAAAACATCAGTAAATGTGAGTATTAGGTGACTTTTTGTTATTTCCCCAACTCTGGAGCATGTGGGCTTTTTAGGTGCGTGGATCAGAAATTTCAGCCCCCAGCACCATTTTTTTTTCCTTTGGCTACATCTTGGTGGACATAGCAGAGATCTCTTGGCTTGTTACAGCTCCTCACAGCCTGGCCTCCTGCTTTTCCAACAGAAAAACTGTTAGAAATGCAGGTCCTTATTCTGAGCCACATTTTGAGAGCTTCCCATGCAGAGCAGTAGCCAGCACTTTGTTGGAACTTTGGATGTGTGAAAGAACTCGCTGAACGAAGTGGTTTGGCAGCAGCAGGGGCCTGGGGTTGGTTTCCAGCCAGAACCATCCCTCTGCACAGAGCACTTGGGAGCGTGAACCTGCAGTGGCTGCAGGGCAGAGATGGCTGCTCAGCATGGCAAGGGCTCCTTCCAGCACGTGTCTGAACCAGGACTGCTCACCTGCCTGGTTCCCCAGCCCTGAGACACAAACTCTTCTCATCAGCAGGTGCTTGCTGTGGCAGTGAAAGCTGAGCTCTGACCTTTGTGCTGTCCTTGGCCCTCCTCTCCCAGGCAGTCTGCTGCTCTGAGCTGTCCCCTCTCCAGTGCTCTCCCTGTCCCCTGAGGACTGTTGCTCCATCTGGAGGGGAAAGGACTGACTCACTGCTCTGAGCACACTTTCCCTGCCCTTAAGGCTGGGGTTTAATCACCTCTGTCACCTCTTGCTGTGGGTGGTGGAAAGAGGGGATGGGGAATAACCATCATCTGTAGGAGCCTGGCTTGGCCTGGGCTCTGCTCCACCACAGCCATCCCAGCCCACCTGCAGCAGTCCAGCAGTGTTCCTGTGGCCACAGCTGGCAGACCATGTGCCTGTCCCCTCTGCTGGTCACCCACTGCCTGCCTCAGGCCAGCATCCAGAGCACTGGACAGCTCTGGTTGTCCATGCAGGCAGAGCCCTTGGAGAGGCAATGAGAGATCTCTGGCTCCCAGGCAATCAGTCAGTTAATTATCACCAACTTTCACAGCTGACAGGAGGCTCACTGGAGGAGAACAAAGGGAAATGGGCAGGTGGTGTGTTGTACTGGAGGGCTAGGTGAATAGGGAATACTAAGTAGTTTCTGTTGTACTGTTTCTTACCAAACCTAGATCCCATCTTTTGATCCAGAGATACAGTTAATGCATGTAATAGATTTCTTTTCCCAGCTGTTATCCTGGTACTGCAAGCTCCAGCTTCCCAGTTGAGCTGTTCTCTGATAGGCAGAAGTGGGTGTGTGTTTCATGTTAGATCTCAGGTCTATGATTACATATTTCTGAAAAGTAAAATGATGAACCTAGAAATACAGCAAGTATTCCTGTGAGAGGCATGAATTCCACCAAACATTGAGCTTCTGAAAGATTCCTGGGCTCGGGTGATGAGAGCTGGATGTTGGATGGGCTCTCCTAGTGTAAGCCATGGCAAATGGCACTGGAGACCCTTGAGCCATTCTGCCTGCTGGAAAAAGCTGCTCCAATAACTGGGAGTGAATAAATTCTTCCTAGAGAATGGTCATCCTTTGTAAAATCTTGATATCTCTGTCAGCACTGCTGCCTCCCAGGTTTCACTGTCAGGTCTGTGACTGTTGAACCCTCTGACCTGTCCCTTCCCAGCAGGGTGTTTCTGGTCAGGTCTTCACTGGCCTCATCAGTACCTGCTGATGATTCTCAAAGTTCTGCTTAAATCTGTTGAAATTCTGCTATCTGTTTTCCCCTTTTTTTCTTCAGTCTCCAGCAGTGGTCTTTACATTGGCAGGAGAATGAGCTGATTGCTTGTGCTGTTTCTTTCCCCAGGTAAGCTGTGCATCGAGCGCAGGCTGTCAGCTCTGCTCTCGGGGTTCTGTGCCTGACTCCAGTGGTGTTGTCCTTCACACAACTCACCCCAGCTGATTGCTTTGTCCCCTACAGCCTGTGCTGTGGTGGGAAACCACTCTGGCAGTAGGACACCTGGAGGATGGACTGCTCACTGTTCTGGTTTTGGACGTTTTGGGAAGTTGTTCCACAGACTCAGATTCCTTTGTGGGGACGTGTGACTGCAGCAAGCACAAATATTTCCCTGCCCAAAGGCCTGGGTGAAGACATAGCTGATGTGGAAAGGTCTCCCTCGTTGTCAGAGGGAGTGAAGGATAGAAGTCTGCTTCTTCCCAGCACTTTGAAGGATAAGACTGCTGCCTATCCCTCTTGCTTAAGAACAGGGTATTCCAGTGCTGTGTCCATTGCAGGCAATGGATGTGCTGAAACTGCTGGCTTCAGTTGATGTCCGAGTGTGTCATTCAGACATAAAGGCCAGTCTGTGTACTTTCCCCTTCCCAGCTGAGAGCCAGGCATCTTCAAGCTCCCTGGCTACTGGAGGCTCCCCTCCACTCTCTCCTTTGTCCTTTGTCCTTGTGTTTATGCCTTGGAGTGCTTGGAGAGGAGGGAGTTGGCGTTGTGAAGTAGCTCCCACCTCAACAGACTCGCTGAGTGAGGCAGAGGACGTGTGGCTGCTGGGAAGCTTGGAAATCTCATGGCTGCTGTGTGGGCTCCCTGTCTGCCTGCCTGGATGGGCAAAGAACACAGGGAAAGGGGCTGTGCAGGAAACAGGAGGGCAACAGAAAGGGTCACGCTCCTGTGTTTGTAAGAAGCCAAAATGAATCTGTTCCTCCCTTGGTCCCCCGGCTCAGAGGGATCCATGTGAAAGACTTGTGGCTGTTGAGCTCTCCTGTCAGCACGTTCCTACCTGAGGAAGCACTAGCACTGTCCTGCTTTCAGCTGTTGGCTCAATAACCCCTTCCCTGGAGCCCCCCAAACTGAAAACACTAGCTTTGTGAATCAAAGGAGCACTTTACACACTATGGGAACTTTCAGAAGTTGACTTTGCATCACACAACAACCCAGGAACATCACGACTGTTAGGAATGCTGTTCTTTTTATTCCTTTCCTTGCTTCCTGGTTGTTTTATTGCACTACGTGTGTGCGTATATTAATATGTATTCCTAAGAGTGAATATATATTGATATTGATATGGTTTGTGTGTAACTGTACGTATTTAACTGTACTGTATCTCGTGAGTGTGAGGCAAAGAGCACTGCAGAGTCTGTGCTGTTCCTCCTCCACACCAGGAAAAGCTGACTTGCAGTCTGGCAGTACCAAGATTTGTTTTTTATTTAAATGTTCTTTTAAGGACAGTCATTACAAAGCTCCATGCTTTTTAAGAGCTGAAGAACAGGCGTTAGGATCCCACACACTTGGAAACGCATTTTTAAAGAAGTGTTACTTGCTGCTTTGTTTTTGTTTGTTGGGTTTTTGGTTTGTTTTTTTTTTTTTTTATAAAGAAATCCCGTTCAGTTTTACGTTCAGCATTTCTTTCAAGGAGACTCTAGCCAAATGCGACTGCAGGTGCGAGTGGCTGGAGCTCTGGGTGAGGCTTGGGGTGCTGTGAGCATGTGTGTGAGAGGGGAGCTGCTGCCTTCCATCTGTCTGTGAGAGATGAGTGTGAGTTCAGAGTCGTGGCAGTGTTGTGGTAGAGCTGGGCAGAAAAGCATCTTTGAAAGCAACTCGAAACCTCAGGCTTAGTTTTTGGGGATCTAAAAATATTTTGCACATGGTGGTTAAGTCCTCATTGCTTTTTTTTCCTCTCAAGATTGGCACGTTCAGTGTGATACTTTGCAAGAGTTTCAGGAGCAACTTCATGGGCTTTGGAGCTGGCACTGCATTTGGCAACATGGGTGTTTCTGTTCACAGAGCAGAAGTGCCAATAAAGAAATTTAAAAATATTTCCAATTGCCCCAACCAGGGAAGCTTTAAGTGTAGCTTTCACAAATGCTTCACTATTTGGCTCACAGTTTGCTGCTTCTGTGGCCATTTGTGCTTGTGCCTGGGAAAAAAAGGAGAAAACAAAAAAAAGAAGACAAAACCAACCAACCCCCCCAGCCTGTTGTGGACAGCAATGCCGAGGAGACCCAGACTGCTGCAGAAAGGCTTTGGCCAGCTGTGCAAAGGGCTACGCTGCAGCACGGAAGCACCAAGCCAGGACTGACTCTGCAAGACCAAGCCCTGCACCCCAGACCTCGGGCACAGCCCCCAGAGAGGCCCAGCCCAGCCCCACATCTGCTGCCCCAGTGAGCCGTGTGTGTGGCAAGCTCAGCACTAACCTTCCAGCTGTACTTCATTACTTGAATGTATCAAAATCGTCCACATTCAATGTATACAAGTATATATTGCTCCAAAAAAAAATTAAAAATTGTGGTTTACAGACCTACAACTGATATATATGTATGTGTTTGTGTATATACATGCAAGGCTGTGTGTGTGTGTGTGTATGTGTGTGCATGGGTAGAGATACACACACAAACACAAACGTGTATATATATGTTTTTTTCTCTCAATACTTGAAACTTAGCCACTGTGCTTGAATTAAAAAAAAGAAAAAAAACCAACAAAAAACCAACAAAAATCCACACAAAATAACCCCAAAAGCAGGGGAGGAAAAAAAAAAAGAAAAGTGATTTATTTTGCCATCACTTTGGTGACTTTCTTTTTTATCTAACTGCATGTAGCGTGAAACCAACTTTTTTAGTGAAAAATATTTATTGCTTTGTAGACAATAAGGTATGCAAAAAAAAGAAGAAAAAAAAAAAGAAAGCACCCCAAAAACCAACCCCCAACCATTGCTGAAGTTGCTAGTGTAGTCCACCTGCTATTGTCATGGCTTTGTTGCTGTTGCAGCGTTTGTGTCAGGCGTCTTTAATAGATTTCAGGAAACCTCAGTCTGATTACACGTACCTTCAGGTTTGTGAGAGCGTATGATGATGTTCTTTATAAGGTAATGCTTGATACTTTGTCAACATTTTTTATTTGTGTTTTGTGTGACTTTTTTTTTTTTTTGCTTTAAATTGTACAACACCGATTTAAGACAATAAAATTGATTTGAAATTGTTAGTGGCCTGTTTTCAGTCCTTTATGATCCCTGTTCATGTGGCATCTGAGCAAGGCCTTTATAATGTGTGTGGTTCTACCTGCCTCGACTTTTGGGTAAAAAAGGGCTGTTTTCTGCCCCCTTACCACAGCAGGTGAAGCTTGGGGCAGAAAAGCCACCTTTCCTTGAATTCACATGAAGCCTGTGAATTTGGGCAAGCTGAAGCCAGTTGCTGGGTGGGAGCTGCAGTTCCTGGTTTTTATGGTTTTCTGTCCATATTACCTCTCCTCTCCTCCTGCAGTGGTTAGGAACTGTCACAAGTTGATAGCAGAGCCCCAACCCTTCCCAGCCAATTGGATGCTTAAATTCCATCCATATTTCAGTATTTGTAGGATTATACTGTCAGAATCAGTAAGCTTGTTGCTGAACAAAAAAAAAGACTTGAAGTGTGATATCATGATAACATTTGGGTATTTTTAATTCACATTAAATATTTTCCTGCTGTGTTTGTATGCATTGCAATTTGGTTTTTGAACAGAGCAGGCACATGGCTTAGAATTCTCTTGCCCACATAGCTTTGCCAAAGGTCTCTGAACATGGCAGAAGGGACAGTGGGATGCTGAGTGTTGGTCCTGACTTCAGTGCAGGACAGGTGCCCATTCTGTCTGGATTGGAATACTCTAGGAGGAAAAGCTAAGCCCTGCATCTGGGATGTGGGAGAGGTGCTGAATTAATTAGTCCAGTCCTTCCATTCTTGCCACAGAAATTTCAGCCACACAGCTGTAAACTTTCAGAGGCCAAATGCCATCATTCCACCAAACATTTCCCAAAACTCCACTTGCTGAACTTCATGTGTTTTTGTTGTCCATGAGCATCACTGGGGAAAGTCCTGTCCAGCAGGCCTGTGTGATGCAGCATCAGCCCACAGTGTCGTGGTTTTGTAAGAAAAAATCCTATTTCAAAATCATCATTTACCATGAGCTGGAATTGTTTTTTTTTCTTGCTCTGTCCTGTTTATAACCTCTGTTTCTGGCCCCTTCCTTTCCCACCCCAGGGAATTGCTCTGTGAGAACGGCCCTGCCTAGAAACGCTGGGCTCTTGTTGATGCTGGCTCACATGCAGGGACAGCCGATCCTTTCTCCCTGCAGAGCTGCAGCACCATCAGTGCTGGGGACAACTCTGAGAAACTGCACTTCTGTGTGCTGAAAAATACTGGCACAACCTGGGCAAGACCCCACGGCAGCCCTGGGAAAGCTGCTCAGAGCTGAGTAATCACAAATGCTGCTGTTTCTTTTTTTCTGCTCAGCACACTTGGGTCTTTGTGTTTTGAGGATTTGTGCTGGGTTTTTTGGTTTTTTTTTTAACATTTTTTCCCTTTTGTAGAAAATTCCTTGTGTATGTTTGTTCCCTGCAGCATGGGATAGTAGTACATAATACATACATGAAAAAGTTTCTGATGCTGAGGGTAAGGGAGGGGGGTTTCTTTTGAAGCTGCCCATTAAGAATTTCAAAGGTGAAAACATTGTAGCCAAATGAAAGATGGACCACTGTGTGTCACATGGCTGTGTAGAGAACTCTCTGCTGAGTCCATTGGACTCTTTCACAGGCAGCAGAGCAGAGGGGGAAAGTGCTAGCTGGGAAAACTTCAACAACAGAAATACACACTCTCTTCTAAAAGCACTGAACCATGGGACCTGGACAGTTCAAAAGCACCAGTGGAAATTGCACAACTTTCTGGATGTTGATTGTGACGTCATGCTGCTGTTGATTCTAGGAGAAAACAAACCCGAGCAATTCTTCCAGGGCACATTTGGCTTTGTTCCTGTATTTTATATTTAGTTGTTGGTAAGTACGTCAGCAAAAACACACTCATTCAACTCTGAAAGATCAGAGGTGACAGTGACATCAAGGAAGCAGAAATGGGTGGGTGGGTGTTGAACCTAGGCCATACAAAGATCAATTATTCTGCTTCCAGCTTTTTTAAAGCTTTATTTCACCAGGAGTTAACTCCTTCACGGCATGTTCGAGCTCTCTGGTGTTTAACTTGATGTTGGCTTCTCTGCAGGGGCCCCCTGTGCCTGGTCACCTTACACTCCAGGAGGGGAAGGGTTCTGTGCAGGGAGACAATACCCTGGCATAGCTCTGCAGGGCAGGACCTCATGCTCTCCAGAGAAATGCTAGCAGTTGGATTTATTTAGATTTATTTCCATAAATGTAGCACTAAGCATGGGTGCCATTCCCTGGGTGAGGAATGGCACGTAGTGCAGAGATGTAAACTTCCCTGGGACATTTCTTTCTAAAAACAGCCTTTTTAGGGACAATAGAGTCAGAACCACCCCCTCTCCTGGGAGATGAAACCTGGCAAGGGATTTGAATGCTTTTACAAAACATGTTAAATAGTGTATTTCTAAGAAGGGGCTGAAGCATATGTCAAACACAGGTTTCCTCTTACCATGGACAGAGAGTAACCGAATTCCCAAATGTGCATAATTTTTCTTCATGTTTCTAGCTAATGCCCAATATAAAACTGCTGGGGAGGAGCAGAATAAGGTGCTCTTTGAGTTCAGCATGTCACCAGTTCCCAACATGGATGTAAATGGCTTTTAACTACAACATTTGGTATCTCCTGAACTTCTAGTGCTGTGTAGCAAAGCCCTTAAATGACATCAGTTTAGCAGCTTTTTCCTTCCCTTTAAGAGAAAACAATTGGAAGGAAGCATCTTCCATAACACAAGGTTTCCTTGGAGCCCTTTAAATTGATTTAAAAGAAAATTTATTTCTCTGTGAATTGAAATCAAATCCTCTTGAAATAAATACTCCTTTTTCAAAGCAGGTATTAGGGAGGAAGATGAGAAAGTTGCTGGGTGCCATTGCCAGAGCGGAGAAGAACAGGCTGCTCAGGGAGGGGACAGCCAGCTGCAGTGGGGCCATGGGCTCTGCTCTGCCAGCCGGAGGGGACAGCCCGCAGTGTCCCCGGGCTGGGAGGAGTGGGAGCAGTGCCAGTGGTGGCTGCCTGGCAGGGGACCCTATGTGGCCAGGGCTGTGGCTGTCCCCAGGACACGGGACACGGGGAGGTGGCGGCGCGCGTTGCCAGAGCCCCATCTGCAGGCGGCTCCCTGTGCAATGTGGGGCGGGGAGCAGCGCTGGCGAGGTTGGGAGAATGGAATGAAGTGCCTCAAAAAGCAGGCTAAAACCCCGTTCTGCAGCCATTCTGCAGCCATTCTGCAGCCATTCTGCTGCCCGCTCGCAGGGGTCAGGGGTCTGTGAAGCCCCAAGCGGTTGGCACCTGGAGAGCTCTGACAATGCTGATTTCAGTGCCGAGCGAACTCGGGACCTCCTGAGGCTCTGACTCTCCCAACTCTGGCAAGTCGATTTCCCCTTGCCTTTAGCAAGATAAAATAAATTATACATGGGTGTTTCAAGATAAAATAGATAAGTTAAAAAAAGGAAGATGTAGTGCGTGCTGTGAGAGGTCAAGGGCACAGCTTGTGCTGCCTGTTTTGAAGCTTCTTTGCTGGTCTTAGAAGGGTAAGGAGCTGGGATAAGAAAGCTTTTTCCTTCATGGGATATCCATGCAAGTCTTTCTCCTATCCCATCACTGTTTTCCATATTGACTGGCTCCTTCTTCCCTCTCTAACATTTACTGAAATGAGCCAAACTCGGAAATCAGGGTAGGGAAGGAGGAGGAAGGGATGTGGTGGACAGACAATTGCATAAGATCCACTTCCTAAGGAAATGAGGCAAAAAGAGATTCAGACGCCCTGATTGAAGTGATAGAGAAATTAGTATTCCTGTTTCCCTTGGCAGCAGCACTGCACTGTGACAGGCCATCTTTTCTCACTTCTCTAAGCAAAGTGCAGCTGGGACCCTGTGATAAATCTTCCCTTTGCTCCATCCCATTCCTGAAATAACTCAGAAGTGTCAGTTCGGAAAAGGACGTGCTGCATTTCTTCCCCTTATTAGCTGAAATAACAGGCCTGTGATAATCTGGCCCGCTTGGAAGTGTCAACCTTTCCATGTTCCATCTGAATGGATAAATGGAGCTCTCCTACAATAACATTACAGTGTGCCAGGGAACCCATGGGTAGCACCAAGCTACAGAGCACTTGAGCAAAAAACTCTTTCAGGTGCAATTGGCTTTTTGGGAGGGCCATGCTGTGGCCTGGTAAGGGTTCCTGTTGAGCTCAGCTCCCCCATGAAGTGCATCACTGCAGATAAAATTTGCTGCACGAAACATGAGCACAAGGATTGCCTGGAGGAAAACCTGAGGGGAAGTGGAGCCAGAGTGCCCATGCTTGACACCGACACACAGAGAAGGTGTGTGGAAAGGGGGATGTCACCAATGTGACATCGCTCTGGGAAGGGAACCGTGAGCTGTTACCGCAGACCTGTGTGCCTTGTGAGCTCTTCCCCTCCCCTTGTCCTCACCTCGCCGGGACTGCAGCGCTGTCAGCGCCCGTTTCCCATGGAAAAGGAAAAATGGGCTGCTTTGCTTACACAGCCACCAGGTACCGCCGGAATGTCAGTTTGCCTTTCCCCCTGCTTTTTATTTATTTAACAATATGACAATTTTGGGGTATGCTGGAACCCGTGCGCAGGAGGTGGGGCTGAGCAGGGCAATGCCCAGACCCTGGTTACCGCCAGCACTGGAGCACGGCGGGCTCTCAGGCTGGGAACCCTGGAGCAGAGTTGGCTTTACACGCCATCCGTTTTCCCACTGAGAGGGAGCTCCGGGAAGGGCTCGGTTTGCTGTACAGACGCCGCTTCCCTCAGCCCGCCCCGCTGCCCTCACGGCGCCTCCCTCAGCCCGCCCCGCTGCCCTCAGCCCGCCCCGCCGTGTCCCCGCGCGCTCGCCGTACCGCGCACGTGCGCGCCCCGCGCGGCGCCGTCGCTGCGCAGCGCCCGCGTAAGTGGCGGCGGCGGCGGGCGCGGGGCTGAGGGCGGCGGGCGCGGCCTCTCCCGCCCGGCGGCTCCGGGGGCCATGCTGCGGTGGGGGCTCCGGGTTGTGAGCTGCGGCTTCTCCGTCCCGGGGAGCGCGGCGTGCGCCGGGCCGCGGCAGCGCAGCGTGGGTACTGCCGGGCCCTGCCCTGCCCGCTCCGGGGCCGGGTCAGGCCAGGCGGGGCCATCGCCGCTCGCCCTGCCGGCCTTCCCAGCCGGGCCGCCCGGTGTCCGGGCAGCGCAGGCCCTGCCTGCCTCCTCCAGGGAGTGGTGTCACGGCCCAGGGGGTAACAGGGGTGCTCGCCCTTCCTGCCTCAGACTTGTTCGTGTGCTGTCGCTTTCTGCCCGAGTTTCGTGCCGTTCATGCTCGTCCCATCTGCGGTTGTTTCCCCTGCAGGTTCTTACAATGGCTGAGGATTTGATAGCAGCGGTTGCCAGCCAGACAAAGAGACTCAACAGCAGCAGCGAGGTGGTTCAAAGGCTGGAAGAAAACGGGCATCCGAACAAAAAGTTGAAGAGTGACGCGGATGAGGAAGATGCAGAGGATCAGAATAAGAAGTTACCCAAAAGGAAGATTGTGCTGTTGATGGCATATTCAGGGAAAGGCTACCATGGCATGCAAGTATGTGGTTTGGCAAAGCAGCATCTCCAGCTTATTTTTTGTTTTGGAGTCTGTTAGGTTTAGTCAGAGTGCCCGGGTAGGGAAACAGTTGAGCATTTGTAGTGTGAAAAACCAGGGCAGGAAGAGTGTGTGAATGGCTTCAAATGGCTTGGTAATAACTTAATTTTAAAAGGTCAGTGATGCATCTCTGATGATTGTAAGGACAGTGCTTTGTCATAGCATCAGACGTGCCTATGCAGGGTGGTCTGAGGCACAGAGCTGGCAGTGAGAGGGTGATCCTGCTCCATCTGCTGCTCCTCTCCACGTACTGCAAGCTCCATACACTTGAAGAATGCTTCAGAAGCTCCAGGGAATAATTGACAATCTTGCACACAGACAGGGAAGGGAGCCTTTCATGCTTACACAACAAAGGAGGCTTTTTCACCAGCAGTAAACATCATGCTTACAGGCACATCAGGTGAACTGAGCAAAAGAACCCAATCTAATTTCTGGAAGAAAAATTTGCAGAGGCTGGGTTTGGAGCAGCAGCTGTTGACTTGCAGGCACTGGGGCAGTATTGGTGCTGTTTCATCCATTTGAAGGAATCACCAAGAACCTCCAGGAGTGTTGCACAGTGAAATTAGAAATGAGCCCGTATTTGTAACAGTAACAGCTAAATCAGAATGATGTTTTATTAACACTGGTAAAATACAGTTAGGTTTATTAGAGAATGGCTCTTAAGGCTGCAAAGGGGAGACTTTTAAAGAAATTCCACAGCAATGTTTGTTTAACAAAATCCCGATCTTCATTAATCCCGTTATTGTTCTATTTCTTATTTTTACTACATATGGCCTCTTAGAGAAACGTGGGATCTTCACAGTTCAAGACCATAGAAGATGACCTAGTCTGTGCCCTTGTTCAGTCAGGATGCATCCCAGAGAACCACGGGGAGGACATGAAGAAGATGTCTTTCCAGCGCTGTGCTCGGACAGATAAGGTCGGTTGGGCAGGGCTGTGCTCTCCTGAGCTCTGGGCTTTACACAGCTCTGCTGCTGGGATGGACTGCTAAAGCATTGTCCACAGGAGACCCAGCAGCAAGTGAATGTTCCTTGAAACTTCTCCTTTTGTCCTCTATTAAATTAAAGTACAAGCAAATGAACTTGTTATTCAGTTATTTCAATTCTGCAAGTGTTAGAGCTTCCAAAGTACATAATTATGTGGAGTTTTGTGTTTTTTGGTTTTTACAGGGTGTGTCTGCAGCTGGACAGATTGTGTCACTGAAGGTCAGGCTAATAGATGACATTTTAGAAAAGATCAATAATCATCTTCCTTCTCACATCAGAATTCTGGGTAAGAACACTGAAATGGGCAGAGAAAATGTTTTCAAGAAAAGCTCGGGCAGAGGAAATGTTTTCAAGAAAAGCTTTCTCCTGCAGAAGGTCTCTATAATTTTACTTATAAGGGTTTTAGTTTTAACATGCTTCTATTCGCTTGAAATTTGGGTTCTTTTGAACAAATCTACTTTTTGTTTATATTTTGCTTAAAAAATATTCTTGTTGGTAGGAGTGAGATCACAATCAATCTGTAACCTCCTGATTCAAAAGCCTAATGTCACTTTTAAATGCAGGCCTGAAGAGAGTCACTGGGGGATTCAACTCCAAGAACAAATGTGATGCCAGAACCTACTCTTACATGCTGCCCACGTTTGCCTTTGCCCATAAGGACCATGAAGTGCAGGAGGAGCTTTATAGGCTGGACAGAGAGACCCTTGAAAGGGTCAATCAGCTGCTGGCCTGCTACAAAGGGACACACAACTTCCACAACTTCACATCACAGAAGGGCCCCAGGGACCCCAGTGCCAAGAGGTACATCATGGAGATGTACTGTGGAGAGCCCTTTGTCAGGGAAAACATGGAATTTGCAGTGATCCAAGTGAAAGGTCAGAGTTTCATGATGCACCAGATCAGGAAGATGATTGGGCTGGTGATAGCAATTGTGAAGGGTTATGCTGCTGAGTCCATCATGGAGCGCAGCTGGGGAGAGGAGAAGGTCGATGTCCCCAAAGCCCCAGGACTTGGGCTGGTTTTGGAGAAAGTGCACTTTGAAAAATACAACAGGCGTTTTGGGAATGATGGGCTGCATGAGCCACTGGAGTGGACAGAGGAGGAGGAGAAGATTGCTGTTTTCAAGGAGCAGTACATCTATCCTACCATTATCAACACTGAAAGGGAGGAGAAATCCATGGCAAGCTGGCTAAAAACCCTCCCCATTCATGACTTCAACTCCTCTGCTGTTGAGGTGCAAACTAACAACAAAAATCCAAAGGTAATGATTGAAGCCATTATTTTACAAATGGCAGCTGTCAAGTTGAAGCATCTTCTCCCTTTGTACCATTTTTGTTTTCCATGAAATGCTGTGGAAATGACAGTCATGTGGAGTATGAAATGTGTATAATCTTTTCTGTCTTGTGCACTTGATGATAGTGGAATGAACTGTACAGAGCATTGTTTTTGCAGGGCTTTACAGGGAGGACGGAGGAAGGAAAGCTTTAAGCACAAGCAATTTGCATAATCATAAACTGGCAACAGAAATTATGGACACATTGCCAGCCTTTGCTGTTGTGAAAGTGTTTGGGAGTCTAGGATTCAGGTTGACAATTCTGCTTTAAATACCTGCTGGCTTTTTGTATTCTCTGATTTTGGGCTAATTCTCATTTTGTTACCAGATAAGGTTTGGGATCAGGGAAATTTAGGACCAACCCTTTTAAATTAATCTGCCATGAGCTCAAAATAGGCCATCAGAACAAGTTCTGAGTAACTGGGATATTGTGGAATTGGATTTGTGCCAACAGGAACTCCTGTAAGCTGTGAGAATACATTTTTGCCAAAAAGGAAATTTCTGTTAAAGGCTGGCAAGTCCTTGAAGGATGAATGATGGGCAGGGCTAAAACTTCTGTGTTGTGCAACTCAGAAGAAAATAACGGCCTTTTTTCATTTAACAAAATGCTTAAAATTACCTTTATTTTGTAGCAAATGGAGAATGTTGGAGATGGAGACATGGAGAAAAATTATGTCTCTGCCATTTTATGCATGATATAAAACTTAAAGCCTTGTTGAATAGCACAGGCAAGACACCATAAGTTTCTCAGGGTTATTTTTGTACTTGTGGTAATTTTTTTCTGAATTCTGGATACATGAGAGGGCTGTTTGTGACAGAAGGGCATGGAAAAAGCCACTTTGGTTTGTTTAAATGGGACCCAAAGAGACCATGTGGCTCAGAGTCCTTTACCTGGTGGTGTTGGCAGCACCTGGTGCTGTCAGGTCCCCAATCCCTGCCATATTCCTGGAAGGAGGCAAGCTCTGCTCCCTGCTGATAGACCCAACCAAGTTGGGGTTTGGCATCACAGTTAGCACAAGCTGTCTGGGGAGGATAAATAAGGCATGATATGACAGACTCTGCTGAGACTTTGCAGGCTGTTTGCACTTCAGTGAGCTGTGCTTGCTGGTATGAAGTCAGCTGCTGTGTGAGTGACTTGGAATTTGTTTTGTAGTAGGATATTAAATGGCCAGTGTTAAATTTGTGGGATTCGCTGTTTTCAGCAAGTGGTGGTGAGGGGGAAAAAAATGATAACTACAGCCAGATATATGCTATAGATAAATAGAACAGATGTATACTATGCTAGCTTCTCTTTGTAAAAATGCTTTGATATCAGTCATATCAGCTAAAGTACTTGCTTCAGAAAAATACATGAACCCCCCAAATTAACTGGGGGTCCTTCACCATATTGCCGTACTCCTGAAGGAGTGGCTCCCAGAGAAGAACTCTGACTTCAGTCTCCTTGCAAGTTTCTAACATTTGTAGCTTTTCCTTAGTACTGCTTTGTGTAACAGACTTCACTTTTAAACAAGTATTAGTGAGCCCTGGCTTGTCTGCAATACAGGTTGGACATAAATTCTCTGCAGCAGACAAAATTCTCAAATCTGCCTTTAGACAATGGAACAAGCTTAGCTTTTGAGGGACTTGCATAAAAAAGCACTTAACTTGTCTCACCTGCATTTATTTTAAATATCAGTATTTAATGTTACTACCCCACTTTTAAGTTTCCCACATACTGCAGGTTGTAATTAAGGAGTTGTAAATGTTGTAAAAAGAAGACATTTCCTCTCTGGTAATTGTAATCCCAAGTATGTTTTTTGTTCCAAGAAGCATCTTTACCACCAGAGGTGTTTATTACAGTATCAAGTTGAGACCCAGGGCTATTTTCTTACACTTGTGGAGAAGTTTGAATCAGTGTCTGTGACTCAGGTCAGTGTGTGGGTGAGAATGCAGCACTGACAAAGCATTTTGTGTTTTGCTTTGCAGAAGAGCAGCGATGCCGAGGGCAGCGATGGTTGTGGTGATGACTCTGACTGAGCCAGCAGCTGGCTGCACCTGAGGCCCTTGCTGCTTGCAGTTCCCTTTGTCTACAGAAAAGTGGCCTTTCCAAATCCAAGAATCCAGTGAAACAGGAGTTGGTGTGCTTGCAGAATGAGAACTGGATGCCCAGGAGAAACTGGCTGGGGAAGACAATGCAGCAGAAAAACCAGAAGCTTTTTATACCACTGACTGATTCACCTGACTGATATACTTGAAAACAGTGTACTGGGAAAGCAACTTTCTAAAAATAATCTTGAAATGCAGGATATCTTAATTGCTATTTCAATAATGTTTTTATTATGTTTACCTGGAAAATAGTATTTTAAATATGTATAATCTCTACGTAAAGATGGGGCAAATCATTTTAATATACTCTTTTTTACTATGAAGTTACGACTTCATGAGCTTTTGCTTTTTTTAAAATAATTTACCTTTTCTTAAACTGAATCTCTAAGCTTTTATTTTTCATGTCATCCATGGTTTTCCTATGGAATAACATGCATGACCCTGAGATTAACTCAGTTACAATGTGGTCCTAAAAATGCCAGGGTTGTGGATTCAATCCCTTTATGGGTCATTCACTTAAGAGTTGGACTTGGTGATCCTTGTGGATCCCTTCCAACTCAGAATACTCTGTGATTTAGAAACTATGGGTTAGAAACTCATCATGCTGACTGCTATGAACTCTTCGTTTTGAAACAAATTTCTGGGTTTTCTAGAGCTTTGTAGGTCTAAAAGAAATGATTCTGCTTGGGCAGGTTCAAGGATATAAATCCACAGCCCCAGGTGTTGTTTGGCCTTTGCTGGCTGAGGTGTAACCCCAAAATCCTCTTGAACCATGTGCAGGGTCCAGAGTTGAATTGACTTTGCATGTGGGAAAGAAATATGGTGCTGAATTCTCTGGGCTTTAATCAGGCCTGGGTTTGTGAACTCTTCAATCCCATCAAGCTCCTCAGAACAGGGAATGTCTGCAGTGATATGGGAGGCACATGTCTGAGCACTGCCATCCTCTGGGAATCAATTTCAGTTTTCTGTGTTTTCAGGAATTGCCTACTCTGGAGTTCGTGCTCCTTTTTCCCATCAGTGGTTTAACATCTGGTTCTTGTTTCCAACTCTGTGGAGGTGGCAGAAGAAATGACACCCTCCTGCCTTACCACCCTGCAGAACACCATTGAAGGATTGGAACAAGACTCCAAGAATTTGGATATTGGTACAAGTACTTGATACATTTCTCTTGCTGAGTCTCTGTGGAGATTTGCTTTGTAATATGGGACTTACTGAAAATGAGGAGTCAACTCTTTGTTCCCACATTTAGTGGTGTTTTCCCAAAGCCTTTAATTGTATGGTTCCTTCTGGAATTATTCTTTTGGTTTTGCAGGGTTTTTTTTGGGTGGGTAGGAACTTTGGGGGACTTTTTGGGGGCACAGCTATCCTTTAAAAAAGGATTCCCATGTTCATTTTATCTGGGTTTTCTTTAGAGCTTTTTATTTTATCATTAAGACCTTGCTTGATTTTATAAGAGCAAGTGTGTAGAAGTGCCCTGGAGAAGGTTTCTGCCTGGATTTTCATTACATCCCTTGCTGGTCCATACTATTGACCTACTGTGCATTATCCTCCATTCAAAGCTCTGTTTCTCCATACCTTTCAATCTGAAAAAAAAAAAATTACCTTTATCTACTTAAAATAAAAGCCCCAAAGCTGTGACATGTACCACAGTTGAAATCAAAGAGAAAATCTATTTGGAGAGAGAGAGAGAAAATCGTGAATAACAATAATAATAATAATAATAATAAATACTTAAAGCTCGCGGCTCCCCCTCTGTGCGGGTGGGAACGCCTGGCTCCCCCCGCGGTGGGAGGCGAATGGTATCGCCGCGCGGGGCGGGGCGGGGCGGGGCGGGGCGAGGGGCGGCCGTGAGGGGGCGCTGCGGGAGAGCGCGGCGGGCCCGGGGCGTGAGGGGGCCGCGGGGCGGGCACGGGGGTGCGGACGGGTCAGACCGTGCGGGATGTTACGGGGGTGGTACATGGTGTGCGGAACGGGTCAGGCTCTGCGAGGGCGGTGCGGGGTGTGGGGGAAGTCGCGGGATGGCACAGGGGTGTAGGGGGTAGTACATGGCGTGCGGAGCGGTGCGGGGCGCGCAGAGCGAGTCGGGGTGTGCGGGATGTCGCAGGGTGTACGGGGGTAGTACATGGCGTGCGGAGCGGGTCACGCTGTGCGGGGGCTGTGCGGGGTGTGCGGAAGCGGTGCGGGGTGTGCGGGCTGTCATAGTGTGTACAGGGTGGTACATGGCGTGTGGAGCGGCTCAAGCCGTGCGGGGGCGATGCGGGGTGTGCGGAATTTCACGGGGGTAGTACATGGTGTGCGGGGCCGGTGCAGGGTGTGCGGGATGTCACGGGGATAACGGGGGTAATCCATGGCGTGCGGAGCGGCTCAGGCTGTGCGGGATGTCACAGGAGTGTAGGGGGTAATCCATGGCGTGTGGAGCGGCTCAGGCTGTGCAGAGGCGGTGCGGGGTGTGCGGGATGTCACAGGGGTAACGGGGGTAATCCATGGCGTGCGGAGCGGCTCAGGCCGTGCGGTGGTGGCACAGGGGTAACGGGGGTAATCCATGGCGTGTGGAGCGGCTCAGGCCGTGCGGTGGTGGCACAGGGCAGTGCGGGGACAGGGCACACCGGTCTCTGGCGGAGGTTGGTGCCGGTGCCGGTGCGGGGGAGCGGGCAGGCAGCGCTCTGAGGGCACTGCCCAGCCCTGCTCTGCTCCGGGGCAGCGCCGGCACCCCGCGTACCGGGCTGGGATGGCCTCTACAGCCCGGACCATCCCGGCGCGCTGCTCCGGAACTGGCAGCGGTGACACCTGGCAGTCCCTCCTGTCACAGCTGCCGTCACCTCCCGTGCGTGTGACAGCACTGGCCTCTCTCCCTGACTGCAGCCCGTGAGTGCCTGGGCTGGAGAAAGCCGAAATTTGGCCATCCTGCATCTTCGAAGTACAAACATATCCAGTCCAGACTCAGAATGAGCTGCAGCAACTGGATAAATCTACTGGGACCATGAAGAATTCAAGTGGTTAATTTGGGTTAAAAGGTCAGTGACCATTGAGATCAACTCCCTTTACAGTTGTGCAGGAAGCAATTCTGCAACCATAACCCCCATTTTGTAGCAAAATAAAGTGAATGTAAAATTTAAATCAAGATATAGAAATGGGTAGAGCTTTGGAAGTGGTAGTCCAATGCACTATTTTATTGATAATGAGACACTTTATTAGGTAAAACTTTATTCAGTTCCAAAATAGTACTTCACATAGAGACTCATAATTAGTTCTGACAGCAATTAAAAAAAAAAGGCATGAACTTTAAAATAATGCTGTTACATCTAGTGCTTATATTAATGATTGAAGATTATGTGTAAGTTTTAAGTTTTGTAATTAAAGATAACTGCTTTAATGAGATTTTCTGTAATTGTAACATTATATCCACTACCAATTGTTACACATTTTAAAAACCCTCTGGAGAAAATCTTAGAGATCCTAGTAAGTGCTGCACATCTCATTTTCCATACGTTGGGTTTAAATTTGTACCCTCTGAGCCCAATTTGTTGCTTTCCTTAATTAATGTTGTTGCTTGAAATGTTTCCCTTTTGGTCATTTGATACCCTGATAGAGATTGGTTGTGTGTAGCTGTCAGCTCTCTGCAGGGTGTTGTTAGCAAAGATCTTGTCAGCTTCAGGAGTGGGTAAGTGCATTCTAGACTGACTTGCTGATTGAGTCACACCTCAGAGCTTCCAGGCAGGCAGGTCTGTTGGGGTGTGGTGGAAAGCTGATTTCACCAGCTTTGTAACAGGCTGTATTGCCACTTTCTTTGGTTCTCTTTGTCACTTCACTATTTTCTTTTCTGAAATTGCAATTTTTAACAGTCTCTCTGCAGGTGGAATGCCTTCTGTCCTTCAAGTGGCTCAGCAGATCAGCCAGGAGGAAAACCAACAGCAAAATGGACCAAATTTGTCAAATCTGCTTAATTCCTTACGTGCTGCACACAGCAGGCACCCAGCTCTGCCCCAGCAGGTACAACCAGCAGGGTGGCATAAGAACCATGTGCTTGTGGTCCCAGCTCCAGTTCCCTCACAACAACAGGTATATTTGTGTATTATACAACATTTATAAATACAACATTTCTATATTATCTTGTCTGGGGAGTGCTGACCTTGGTGTTTTGTGTGGAGACTTTGTGGATGGCAGAATTTATCACTCCAGCCTGGGGAGAAGGGAGCAAATAATTCCAGTATTTTTTTGCAGGTGACTTTGCCAAGCCTGATAATTTTCTTCAGACAGCTGTGGTATAGCTCAGCTGGGTATGAATCTTTACAAAAAGATTTTGTATTAATTTAAATTTAGAATGCTCTGTGAATACCTGTGCCTCTCATTTGGTTTTAATTAGTGCTGCAGATATACATGATTTTTCTTGAAGAAAGGAAAGGGGTGAGAAGGAATCAGACATGTTCTCTAGGGAAGTAGCATTTGTTCCTGTAATGAAGCCCTAGAAGGAGATTTAATTAAACAGAATCCATTATTTTAAATTTTTAGGCCCCATTTTAAAATAAGGGGGGAGGGGGGATGACAATGAAAATTTGTGCTGCTTGTGCTGACTTGCCAGCTGTTGCAGGATGCTTACGTGTGTTAATCAAAATGCCAGAAACTAAATGTGTGTTTTAGGTGAACTTTTTAGGGAATTTTGTCCATCTGCCATCTGGCAGAGTATTTAAATTCTGTGAAATTTCTCACTGAATCAGCCAGCCCTTCTGATGGGATCTAGGGGTACCATATTTTAGGAGGAAAACCAAAAGTTCTCAAGACTGAGTAGCTCTGCATCCCAAGATTCTCTACTGATTTCTCATCTAACTTCTGCCTCACAAAGTCCTTCAGAAACTTTACAAAAAGCTGCACAAAATGCATTGTTCATTATCTTTTAATAAAGTGCAACTTCAAACACCATGGAATGTTTCCAAGGATTGAATAATTGTTTCTATTGATTATCTATGTAACATTTTTCACAGTGTCTGTCTTGGTTTTGTGTTGTGCAGTAGGAAACATAAGTTTTATTATGTTTACTTGAAGGAAAATGAAATTCTGCAGTGAACAGCAGCACTGGGGAAGGAAAGTTTTTGATCTCTGAAACCTCTGCCCAAACTCCATGAGGCCCTACAGCACAAATCACACCATGATTTATCTTTTGGAAGAAATGCAGTGGATGGCAACAGATTTTTTTCAAGAAAGAAGATGAAAGATGATAACTGCCAAGAGAGTAATGTGAATTTGATATTTTCAACCAGAAAATAATAGGCAGCATTTACATGGTCAGGATGTGATCACTGGGGATCTGGGAGTTTGGGGTTGCCTTTCTACTGTTTGTAAATTTTAAACAGTACTCCTAAAGGGGTTGTAATTTATTTTTTTTTTTCTTTAGAAATGTGCTTTTTAGATAGAATTGGGTATAAAACTTAAAATAATTTTATGGTTTTATTTTAGGGTTAATGTGTCAAGAGGGTCTGGAATGTCAGTTCTATAAAGACAAATGTTTTAATGACAAGCATTGAATTAACTGCAGAGCTTGTCATTTGAGGGTGCTGCCCTGTTTGGGACTCCTGGTAACATGAGCACAATGCTCTATTTCCATGGTGGGGGCTCTTGGAACCTTTTAAAGTAACAGCAGCTGCTCTCTGCAGTGTCACATGACACGGGGCTCTTCCAGCTCCACTTTAATTCTGCCATCAGCTGGGAGCTTTTTCATCATTCTCAGACACTGTGCTATTATTGCTATTATTTTTTTAAACTGCAGCAGAAGAGCAGTGAAATATTTCTTTACTTTGTGGTTTTTTTTTTTCTTTCACTGTAATTTAAGCACACAGACTGGTCTCTATTTGATGTGATTGGAATGGAAAACCAAATCATTTGCTATGAAGCACAAATGCTGCCAAAACTGAAGGTAACTGGAAAGTTTATTGAAGAGATCTCCTGCTCCCCTTCATCACCCAGGCTTGAACCAGTGAAGCTCCAACCAAACAGGTATGTAGTGTTCAAATTATTGATTTATTTTTATTGATTTTTCTTTTAAAGTAACAGATGAAAAAGAGTAATATTTGTGAGGGCTGAGAGGGTTTATTCAGAATTATTTGGTTTTTTTTTTTAATCTTTTGTTTCCAAACTGATCACTGCTAAAGACTTTATGCCTTTAAAGCCTTCTCCCTCAGTCTTCTGAGGGAAAGCAGAGTGCTTCTTACTGCTTAATAGTTCTTTTCATTTATGAAAGCTCAGTTTTGATCTTTCTGGCCACACTCAAGAGTTTAAGTCACTTGTGGTTTTGATCAAACACTGAAAATTACTTCTGGAGTAGTTTCCTAAGCAGAATAATTAAATCTTCTCCTTCTAGTTAAGTACATTTTCAGATGTACTTGCAAAACACTTAAAGATTTTTTGGGGGGGGGGAGAAGGGGAGGGAAGGACAGAGGGAGAAAAAATGCTCAGTTAAATTTTGAGCTTATTTGATTTTTGCTCCTGAGCCTTCCCTCAGAAGAGAAGTTAGGAGGGTTCAATTTTGAGTCTTAGAGCCAATGTAATTCTGCTGTAGAGCAATGTAGAGTTAAATCTTCCAATAAATTAGCCTGGAATGAGGAGAGTAGGGTCAGTGAAGCCCAAGACAGCTTGTGTGACACGTGGCTGTGACAGGTGACAAGGAGGATGTCCCTCATGTTCTTAGACTGTTCTGCCAGAAGAGAGCATTGGCAGTTCATGAAGGTAAGGGCTTGGAAGGGACAGCTGAAGTATATTTGTAAAACAGAAGAAGAACTCATTCTTTTTCTGTTCAGACATCTTTGCTTTCCTGGAAATAGCCTACACAAACCAGTGATTGTGAAATCAGCTCTTACAACTGCAGGGCTTCTGAAACTGTACCCATAGTTAAAGCTTTGCTCCATTAAGAAGTTTGACCCTAATTAGCATTTTCTGGGGAGCTCTCTTGCTGTCTCCAGACTCCAAAGATGACTAAGGGCTATGGCAGTTCTGTCATGCCCCTTCCATGTAATCCTTTGGAGATCAGAGCATTTGGTGTATTTGAATTTTACAGGATAGTGTGTTTCTTCTGTGTGTTGAGAGAAGCAGAATCCCTCCTGCTGTATGCTCTTCAGCTGGGTACCTCTTTCAGCTCAGATTACTGACTAAAAATAATATTTTTGCCAGTAGGCATAAACTGGAAAAGCAGATTTATTTTTCATTGCAATACCAAAGCAAACATTTGTCCTTGTATCACAAGTGTCAGCTTTTCTCCTGCTCTATTCTCCATTCATAGAACTCTTGCATGAGCTAAATTATCCTTATTTTCAAATTTGTTTTTTGCATAAGTTTTATCTGGTCACAATAGATTCAGAGAAGAATTTAAAGGGTATTCCAGAAGAAAGAGACAACTGAATCAACACCTGCACAAAATATATTTCTGGAATGAGTGTCATTGTTCCAGAACCCCCCTGTATGGCAGAGACCTGTTGGAAACTTGCCCTTGGATCAGTGAAAGAAAAATCTCTCAGCATTGTTCTGCCAGGATTAACAAGTGTTGCTGGGCTGGCTTTGCAAATTGCACCTCAGAGGCTGTAAGGATCCATTGCAGGAACTCATTCTGACACTGAAACAGCAGCAGATTGCCCTGAAAGATTATTATTATTATTATTATTATTATTATTATTATTATTATTATTATTATTATTATTATTATTATTAATAATAATAATAATAATACCAGGTAATTGAGGCAAGTCCATGTGCAGTCTTTGCACAGATTTGGTGGGTGTGTGCTGCCCTCCAGAACAGGGTATTTATGTGAACAACTGTAAAATGCTAAATGCAAAATAGGCTGCCTTGTTTTATTCTTTTTGCAGGCTACATTCCTCTATGCTAAACCTATTTGCATGTCAGATGTATAATTTTGGATCATTCTAGGATCTGAAACTCTCAATAGTTCCATGGCAACTGTTATTAGTTATATAACAATTCTACTCTATTTTGACATATCTTGTGTTTGTTGTGTTAATGCTGACAAAAAAGAAGTAGGAGTTGTAATAAGCTTCTCTTGGTAACTTTATGGATAGCATAATTTCCTCTTCATTTTTTTTTTCATTTACTTGATGTCAACTTAAAACTACATGTCCTGATTTACTTTCTATTACCTTTAGCCAGGTGCTTTGTGCTTCTTTGCAAGTATTACTGGTTTGGAGTGGTTAATAGCCTAAGCAGTTAAAAATCAGTATAACAAAGTTTTGATTTGTTTTGTAGAGATCTGTGTGTGTTCCCAGCTGTAGCTGTTGCTCCTCCCTGTTTGTATGGAGCAAACCCTTCTTACCCATGGACCATGGAATGCAACCCTGCAGTTCAGTCTTGAGGAGCAGAGATGGTGCAGGTATTGATGATTCAGGTATTGAACACCCACCACTGGCCCCACCTGTGTGCAGGGGCTGTCTCTGACTGTGAGTGTCACCTGCAGAACCCTCAGCTTCTCGCTCATAACCAGGCAAGCTGGGAGCTCTGGCTGTCCTGCTTTGGCAGCTGAAAGCAGAAGGGACAGCAGGTGCTGATTTTGACACTGATGATTGCAATGCTCAGCATCCTGGAGCTTTTCTGAATTGCCATTTCCCCATGTGAATGAGTTAGTGAGAGTGGTGCTCTCACTGGCATTATCTGGTAAGAGGAGCTCTTCCTCAAGCTCATAGTGAGTAGATGCTCATGGTGGGAGGGAAAATGCTACAGGGAAGTTTAAGGCATTTGCAAGATTCATTTACATAATTTCCTTATTTATTGAAGCAAATTATGTATGTAGCTGTAGCTCAAATATGTAATTATATATGAAGTATGTCAGTCATATTACTATTTGATGAAGCATCTAGGATGTTTCCAAGGAGTATGCCACTAGTTATCCTACCTTTATGAGCAATTTGTGCTTCAAATGCAGATGGTTTTTTTTCACAATAGCCATTTGATTAATTTGCTTTTGCTTTCATTATCTGTAGCTATTTACATTGTTAGTACTTTAAGTGTAGTTGGTGTTTTTATGTTGGCCGTTCCTCAGCCTTACTCCAGGGGCTTTTATTTTTGTGGAGTGCCCTGGCATTGCCTGAGGATAAATTGAAAGTCTGCTCCTTTCCCTCCCCAGTAAGATTCTCTGTATCCTCTGGGGCCTACAATTTGAGCAAACATGAACAAAATATTGAAGTTTTTTCTTATTTTTTATTCCTAATTGCATCATTATGCTTTCTGTTAGATGCAGTATAAAACATACAAGAATACTTTGCCTTAAAGCAACACAAGGCAGCACAACAGAAGGGATTTGATTTAGTCAATAGACAAGAAAAATGATGGAGCTTGTGCAGGAATAACAATTCAGTCAGATGTGCTGATGAGGCCATGATGTGATTACTTGTAATAGATATTCAGATTTTATATGGCTGACTGCACCATAAATTAAGAGTTTAAATGATAGATTAATTATGAACTGTGTAGATCTGTAATGTGGGCAGTAAGATAACTTGAAATGTTTGCACACTTAATGTAGGTTGTGGAAGTAATAAGAAAGCAAATTTTCCAATCTTCTCACTCTGTTAAAAAAAGTTTGTTTAGAGATTTATCCTATATTAATGTCAATTTGTAATTAAGTTGCTTGTTCCCCCATTTTAGGAATTCAGAAAAAGCTTCAACCAAGAGAAGTGATCCTTCTGTGCTGTCCTGTCTTCCCACACTCCCTGCACAGGTGGCAGTCATACAGATGTGATTCCTCTTGTCTTCTGTGACACTGATGGACACAGAGATGGGAAGGTGTGACAAAAGAGCAAGAGGCAGAGATAGCCACACATACAGGTGAATTTCATGCTAAGAAATCAGTGTTTTAAAATCAAAAGCAGAGAGAAGATGATTAGGGGAGAAACTAGGATTTTTGGTTGAGGTCACCCTGGTAGTTTAAGTAACTTGGTCTTTCAAGATGCCTTCAAAGATTTTATCATACCCCTTCCCTTCAAACTAGGGGGAAAATAAAAATCATGTCCTTCCCACACTGCTGCTTCTGTTCCTGTCTTTCCCTCCCACTTTCATCTAACAAACCATCTGGACTTGTGTGTTGGGGCAGCCAAAATAAATGTGGGTGTTTTCAGCCCTTGATAAACAAAATATGTCATTCTTGATGATCATTGAGTTTCAGATCCAGTGATGAGATGCTGTGTGTGTAGGTCCAAGATGTATTTGAAAGCTTCTCTCAAGTGTTTCTTGCCTTGGAAGGATGTGCTGAGGGCACAAGGAATGCAATGGGTTTCTTTGTTTTACAGGTTTGTAAGTGGTGATTCTATTGAAGAGAGGCTGTTGAAAAAGAGTATTAAACATGATTCAAGAACTGGCTGCTCAGGGAGGGCATTGTTCAACAGACTGTTTATCCCAGGTACTGTAACATTAAGAATGTGAGCAGTTAGTTGATGATACATAAAAAATAAGTGTTTACTAGATCTGAGACAATTTTGAGAAAGTGGAGGTTTATTTATTTCTAGGCTTCTTTGGGAACCAGTGGTGTATGTTCATGGTTAAATTGAGTAGAAATCCTGAACTGTCAGCTCATATAGAAAATCAGAAGGTAACAATATTTAATAAATATTGATAATATTGATAAATTGTAATAAAGATTTGCTTGTTCCAATGATAATGTTACCCTTTTATTTACATTGTTTTTATCAATCAAAAGCAACATCTGCAGCAAAAGGTGCCAAATACATCTGTAATCTGACTTTTCTAAACTTGATTTTAGGACGACTAAATTATTTTTGTGTTTTTTCTTAAAGGTCTTGGATCACATCAGTGATGTGGTTAACTCTTGCAACAATGTTTGTCACTCTCCAAAGCAACACCAAAATTGTTACATAAAAACCATTGCAGGTCCAGAGGGGAAGGAGAGTTTAAGTCGAACCATTGTGAGGATTTGGGAGCTTTTGAGGTCTTTATTGTTGGTTTTTTTTTCCCCTTTTTAATTCCTCATTGCTGTTAGAGTACTACATGAGTGTTTACTAAGCAAAAACATAACTAGATTTTAGAATTTTGAATAGCTTGGTATACAAACAAATGTTAGTAAATACATTCTCTTAACAGTATGACTAATATAGGTTATATTTATTACATTTCCATACACTTAGGAATAATAATTTCCCCAATGTTATGACAATATGACCTTGGATGTGTAATTTTGCACTACCAGTGTGTTAAAAGTAAGGGAGGGGAGCTGTTTATTTTAACTTTTTAGTGGTAGGATGTAAATTGTTTTCAGTCAAGACTATTAATGAGTATGAATTTGGAGACAGGGCACTTTTGATTATGTATTTTTGGTACCTAAAAATTGTATTTTTGTATTTATTTATTCCAGAATGTAGGTGGTCATCCTCTTTGTGTTAGACAAGCCTGTGCAAACTACCAGAATTCTGAGTGTATTCAAATCTGTATAAATCACTTTGAGTGGATGACAATGACTACTAAAAAAAGAAGTTCCTCAAATAGATTTCCCTAAGTTTACTTTTACCGTCAATATTTTTCTCAGATTTAACAGTAAATCACTGGTGGTCTGATTGGTGAATTTCTTTTCTCTTAAGCACGAATGAATTTCACGGGGACCTTTTTCTCATCAAAGGCTCTGTGATGATCTTGAGCCTTAAGTAGTGTTTACTGTCCAAGAATCAAATCTGTGCTTGTGTTGATGTAAAGAAAAGCCTGAAGTGCGGCTCCATGTGAGGTACCAAAGTCCTTCCTCATGTCCGGGTGGACCCTCCTGAGCATCAGTGAGTGCGCGTTGTCTCTTGTCCTGTCACCTGCACCACCGAGCAGAGCCGGCCGTGCTCCGCGCTCCCTGCACGCCCTGACAGACGGGGATGGGGTTCCCTCTCAGCTCGGGGCTCAACAGCGCCGTCGGAGATGCTCCAGCCGCTCCATCTCCGTTGTTCCCCGGCCGGCCCCGCTCCGGGCGCTCCCCGCCTCTCCTGCCCTGGGGGCTCAAGCCCCGCCAGCTGCAAGTGCGGCTTTTCACACCGTGTATTGAAGAGTAGCGACAGCCTCGCTCCGTGCGCGGACAGAAACTGCCCTTTGCTGGCTGCTTCCCCTGCCCTGCCTCTGCTACAATAAATATCATTTCTCTGCACTGTCGCCGAGGCCGTTCCTATCGCGACAGGGCCCGCTCCACGGAGCGCGCAGGCGCGGGGCTGGCGCAGGCGCGGCGCGGCCCGCGGGTGGCGGCGCAGGCGCGGCGGGACGCGGTTTGTCTCCTGCCGGCGCTGGTAGCGGCGCCCCCGCCCGCGCTTCCTGCCCGCAGCGAATGGAACCCGCGGCGCCCGCGGTAAGTGCGGCCCGCAGGGCCCGCCCGGGCCCGGCTGCGCGCCCCGCTCCGCCCCGAACGGCCCCCGCCGGCCCCGCCGCCGCACCGGGGGCGGCCGCGGAGGGACGGGCCCGCCCGGCGCGGGGCGGGGGACGCGGGGCGGGCAGGGCCGGGCCGGGCCGGGGGAGCGCGGCCCCGGCGGGGGGAGCTCCGGGCGGGGAGCGCTCCCGCGGAGCGGCGGCGGGGCCGGGCTTCGCCCCCGGCCGGGCGGCCCCGCCGCGCTGCTCGCACACAAAAGGCGATCCCTGCTTCGGGACCTCCCTTATCGGCCTGTAATTAATTGTTTTCACTGGGGCCGTAAGTGTTAGTGAGGTGCGGGTAATTAAAATAATAAGACCTTGTTGCTGGTGGTATCTTTTGAATCTTAATTATTTGGTATCGGCGCTGTGAAATAACCACAATACCTCGAAGAATAGCAGTATTGTTAAATCTTTTAGAAAAGCGGCCTGTAAGGAGTGCAGCTTTTTCCTCTTCCCGCTCTACGGAGCTCGCTCGCTCATGTTTGAGGTCCGGAGAGTGGGAGAGCCGAGACCCGGTGCGGAAAGCTGAGACCCGCCGGGTGAGCCCCGGTGCGGGAGAGGCGGAACCCGGCCGGAGGAGCCGCTGTGCCGGCTGCGCTCCGCGGTACCCCCGGCACGGGAGGTCCCGGGCTCTCGGCCCCCTGTCGCTGCTGGCACGTGTGTGACAGCGCTGCTCTGCTCCACCTTCCCGGACAGCCGCCTCTCTCCCGGGGCAAGGAAGGGAATCTCCATCCGCAGGGCTTGGGCGGATGGCTGCAGACAGCGCAGGGCAGGGCAGCGCTGGCTGGGATGTGCTCCGTGCCTGGGCAGCGGGAGAGCCGGCAGCTGCATCCCGCCGCTTCCCAGCAGCGCTGCCGTGCCGAGGTGCTGCTGCCTGTTGCCGCCTGCGACCAACTTGGAGTTAGGAACACAAAGGAGTGGCGGCATGTTTGTGTGTGTTTAGCCTCAAGTGCTAAAAGTGAAAGTGTTGCTTTTAAAAGAGGGGAGAGATTTTGAAAGGAAAATAAAAACCCATCAGGTTTCGTTTTCTCTTGCTGCTATTTCTGTGTGACTCCCAGCCCTGAATCTACCTGTCAGTGCATGTCATTGGAATTTTTGTTTGTCTGTGATTGAAATACAAAACCAGAACGTTTTGGAATTTCTGGGTAGCTTGACTCAATAAACAGCATTTTAAATGAAATGCAGATTTGGTTAATTTTCATCTCTTTTTGTGTTCTGAAGGAAAGAGAAGGCAAAGTTGAGGATCAAGTACAGTAGTTTTACGTACATTAAGATGACTTGGCCTTCAGTAGTTCGAACAATAAAGTTGAATAGTCTGTCCATCTTCTTATTTTTAGTTGCTGTTGAAACAATGAACTATATGTTTTAGCAATTACTATGCATTAAGAGTTAAAAGCACGGAAACATTGGTAATAATGAACATGAAAAAAGAGTAGATGCCTTTGATGCTGGAGACCATTTTTTCTTGAAGTTCCACAGCAAGGGAAAAAGTCCTGTTCTTTTTTTTATTACTTGAAGTCATTCTGCTTAGCTAAGGGGAACACAACATTTGTAAGACTATTCAATAGCAGTATTAGCTAGAGAAATTTATGAGGGATTTAAATGAGATTTGGTTGTGCTGAGGGTTTTGGATCATTTGAAACATTTTAAGTAACTGCAAACCCCAGATAACAGTGTTCTTACTGTAAGGTAATCTTTCTAGTTGTAACTAAATGGTTTCAGTTGCAGGAGAGTTTTTACATTCCCTGAATGTCTGTTTCTGTGTATTTCTTTAGACTATACTGTAAAACCTTAGATCAGTGAGAATGCACCATGGCAATGGTCCTCAGAATGCCCAGCGCCAGCTCCAGAGGTCCAGGTCCTTCACGGGCAGTGAGGGAGAAGAGCAGCAGGCCAACTTACCCCAGTCCCCCGCAGCCTCCTTCGCGCCCTCCGCGAGCCCCTCGGCGCCGCAGTCTCCCAGTTACCAGATCCAGCAGTTCATCATGAGCCGCAGCCCCGTGGCCGGGCAGAACGTGAACATCACCCTGCAGAATGTGGGCCCGGTGGCCTCGGGCAACCAGCAGATCACGCTCACCCCGCTGCCGCTGCCAAACCCCACGTCCCCCAGCTTTCAGTTCAGCCCCCAGCAGAGGCGCTTTGAGCACGGCTCCCCCTCGTACATCCAGGTCACCTCTCCGCTGCCCCAGCAGGTGCAGTCCCAGAGCCCCACCCAGCCCAACCCGGTGCCGGTGCAGGCGCTGCCCAACGTCCGCGCGGGCACCCCCGGGCCCGGCCTGGGCATGTGTGGCCAGAGCCCCACCAGAGGCTTTGTGGATGCCAGCGTGCTCGTGAGGCAGATCAGCCTGAGCCCTTCCAACGGCGGGCACTTCGTGTACCAGGAAGGACCAGGGATTGCGCAGATTGCTCAAGGAGCTGCTGCACAGGTGCAGCTGCCATCGTCCGGCCCGCCCGGCACCGTGAGGGAGCGCCGGCTCTCGCAGCCGCACTCGCAGTCTGGGGGCACCATCCACCACCTCGGCCCTCAGAGCCCCGTGGCCAGTGGGGCAAACATGCAGTCTTTGACTAGCCCGGGCCACATCACGACAACCAGCTTGCCACCCCAAATCAGCAATATTATCCAGGGACAGCTAATGCAACAGCAGCAGCAAGTGCTTCAAGGGCAGCAGCTGAGTAGACCCATTGGATTTGACAGGACTTCTGGTGGGTTGATAGCAGGAGTTGGAGGCCCGAGTGCGTTTGGAATGACATCACCTCCTCCTCCCACAAGTCCTTCACGGGCCACTGTGCCACAGGGGCTGTCGAGTCTTCCTCTCACTCCTACAGCTAACACAGCGGTGAAAAAACAGCCCAAAAAGTTGGAGGAGATTCCTCCTGCCAACCAAGAAACTGCTCAAATGAGAAAACTATGTTTGGATCATCACCACAAGCAGATGGAAATTCTTAAGGAAACTTTTAAGGAATGTTTGATTGAACTGTTTTTCCTGCAACATCTTCAAGGGAATATGATGGACTTTTTAGCTTTTAAGAAGAAACATTGTGTTCCTCTGCAAGCATACCTGAGGCAAAATGACTTGGATCTGGAGGAGGAAGAAGAGGAAGAACAATCTGAGGTCATCAATGATGAGGTAAGAAACTTTGTTGGAATAAAATCATAGATGAAGTTGTAGCACTGGGATTGTGAATTATTAAAGAAAGGGACAGGACATGAAAAATCATTTTTGCTTGGTGAAGTATGGCAGTTTTTCATAAAATAGTTGGCCTGAAAGAATGCAGTTCTGCTGGGTAGTGTGATTCAATGGGTTGTTTTGAGTGTGCTGTTAGATTTTTGGATTTAAAATAAAAGCATAGAGAGAGAGCTTTAACTGTCCTAGCTGCACACAAATAAAGATGGTAGAAGTGTGGAAATGGTTTTAAGCTCTCAGAATGTTCTGTTATGACTAGGAATCGTAGTTTGAATTTCACTTAGCTAGACTTGGACAAACCAAAAAAGAATGAGCAAAAGCATTACAAGAGGTTAACCTGACTCATGTGAGTTCTAATCATAGATGTAACTGAAGTTCAATGTTGCTGCAACCAACAAAAAATGTGAATTAATCTAATTAGTGAGGGAGAACATGTGTAAGGGTCGACAGTCATGTATTACATTATTCAGGGTGCCCTGGAGCTCTGTGTGTGAGCTGCTGTTTAAAGAATTAACAACCAGCACTTACAGACTGGACATTGACAAGTTCACTTTGTTACTTATGCAAAGGTTTAAATTACTAACTTGAATTCACTGCTTATTGATGGCAAAGAACTTGAAAGAAGCTCGCCACAAACAGGTGCTGTGCAGCTTTTCCTGCACTTTTGTACCCATCTGTGGGTGCTGGAGCACTGGTCTGGTGCAGAGCCTGCCCTCAAGCCAACATGGCAAGTGGTTGCAGCAGGGCAGATAGAACTGGTGTCCCTGCACCTCTTGGCACTCATAAATATCTTCTAAAATTTGTGAATTACGTAGCTGCCAGTTTGTAGAAGAACCAATATTTTGTAAAGAATCCTGTGAGTCTTTGAATACCCTGTGGAAATGAGTGCCTTCTCTCAAATTTAATGGTTCTTAGGTATGAATCATTAGCAATCATACCTTCAGTTGGAATTAGTGGGAAATTTTAACAGAATAATGGCTGAAGTTTAATTTGTTCAGTACTTTGTTGTATAAGCTTCTTAATTAGGTAAAATATATTTCTGCTTGTGACAGTTACTGACAATTTTGAAGGAATCATTACTTTATATAGTAACATAAAAGCTAGCCTGTTACTGTAATTTATTGACAATGGATATTCAGTATTTTTTTTCACCTGGTTTGTGTTTTGTCAAATTGTTTAGGTGTTCTTGTTGGGTTACGTGTTTGTCAGCTGAAATAACCAGGTATTTTTAACTACCATCTGCACACTTTGAGGGATCTTTAGTGGGTGTAAATGGTACAGGTTCCTTGAAGTCAGTGGTGGTGCTACACTTTAAATGAGTTCAGTCTCTACCCCGTGGTGTTTTGGGTTGAGAATTTGCTGTACTTCGCTGCCTTCTCGTGGTGGATCCTCTTTTGTTTGTGGAAGCTTCTTGTCCCTGTAACTGCTGGAGAATTTTGCAAAGTGCAACAGCAAAAGTCTTTTTGTGTTTTCAAGTGATGAATCCTTCTGAAAGATTAAGATACCTTTTGAGTATGTTCTTTCTTTGTATTTTGTTGTCGTCTTCTGTTTTATTTCCCCCTCCCC